GGATAAATGAAGTGATCTTGGAACTGGCAAAAACTTTTTGGAACATCCCAGTGCCCTTAACACCCACAGCAAAGCATACCGATAAGAGATACTATGTGCCTCTGCATTGTTTCAAGCTTCCACTTGTACCTGGCATCGATCTCTCTTGTCGTAATGGTGGCTATTGAGAGGTTGATACAGGGGAGATATAAATTGACACCAAGGACAAGGATTCTAAAAGATTGGACTTGCTGGGGAGGAAAATGTATTCTACCTTATTCTTACAAATGCATGTTACCAATAAGCAAGCACTCTTATCAAACTATGACTTTGTAAATTGGAAATCAATGGCAAAATTTACAGGTAAGTTGCCAGAATCCTCTAGGAAAGAGTTTTAAGGCTTTCATTGCAGAAGGCCATCTAGTGGTGAGGACATCACTGCAGTCAGTTTTGGACATGGTGACCCTTCCTCTAGAATTATAGCCTCTGCTGTAACAAGGAGAAGGTCTTCATGGTTGCAGAACTCTGGTATAGTTTCTTAGGTCCAAAAGATGATTGAGAACCCTACCTTTGACGCCCAGTTTCAGTTTTCAGAGATAACTGACCAAACATTACACACCTATAAGTCCTTTCAAGCTATGTGGTGTGTTCATTGGGGGGGGGGGGGGTTTACACTGGTAGTGGAGGCATCACTTCTTGGGGTGACAACAGCAATATCTCCTTCAGCGTTTCCTTAGATCATATTATCCCGCTAGACATCAGGCTTTCTCCAGAAAGGGGCAGAAGTTTCATAGGAGAAGGTCTTCTGGTGCCAATTTTATTCAGTCAGCCCATCCTTCACCAGCTTCAGGAAAGCAGCCAGTCTGACTCTCCAATGTCGGCATTCCAGTCGTTGTGTTTCAAGTCGTTTCCCCTTAGTCTGGGGTTAGACTGTCCCACTTCCACAAGCCTTGGGAGTCGATAACTATGGACAAGTGGGTCCAAAGCACTGTGAGACTGGGTTATGTCATTCAATTCCAGTCCATTCCCCTTCCCACCATCCTGCCTGTAATGGGGCGAGACTCGCCCCTGCGGCGTCTCCTGTTGGTCGTCCTGGAAATTAGTTCTTTAGACCTGGAGCGCACTCTGCAGGTTGGTGCCTCGCTGCTGCTGGCCCCCGTGTCCCTCCCAGACCCGGTGTCCCTTGTCCTCGGGTGCTGCCCCCTGGCAGTACATTCATTGTCTGGGTCTCCCCACCCAGGGGAAACCCCACCCACTGTCCCCACCTCGCCTCAGTGGCTACAGCCAGTCACCATCTAGCTCCCTTTCGCTGGGGCCGACTGCAGTCTGTATAAGCCAATCATCACAGGCAAGGGGGGTTTGGACTGGCTGCCTCTGCCTACCCTGGGCTGCACCCTTGTACCTTAGTACCTTTCTGGCCTCTGACAAGGCCGCAGTCTGGGGCTTTTCCAGCTGGGAGCACCCCAGCTCCCTTGTCCTATTCCCCAGCCTTGCTCCCCTCAGGTACTCTGTTCAGCTTCCCAGCAGCCAGGCCCTTTTCCCTCTAGAGACAGAGAGAGACTATCTGCTCCTGGCCCACTGCCCTCTTATAAGGGCCAGCTGGGCCTTGATTGGTGCGTGGCCACAGCTGAGGCTGCTTCTCCATTCAGCCTTCCCCAGCCACAGCCCTCCCCCGGGGTTGCTTTTAAACCCTCTGGACAGGAGCGGGGTGACTACCCCGTTACACTGCCCCATCCCTTTTCAGGGCCTCCCCTTTCAAGTCCTTGCTTCTTCACCAGGTGCCAGGCCCTCCAGGCTTCAGGGGCCATAGAAGAAGTTCCTCTTCAGAACTGGGGAAAGGGATTCTACTCTCAGTACTTCCTCATTCCCTAAATCCCAGGGAGGGATGAGATCTATCCTCGATCTCCACAGTCTTAATAAGTACATCAAATATATGAGATTTCTCATGGTTATTACCCTAGCGACTATTTTTTCCCTCTTTGAATCACAACAGCTGATTTGCTGCCCTCAATCTTCAGGATGCTTACTTCCATGAGGTAATTTTCCTAAGCCATAGGAGGTTTGAGATTTCCAGAGGCAGGTGAGCATTATCCATACACTGTGCTTCCTTTTGGCCTGTCCTCTGCTCTCTGGGTATTTACCAAATGTATGACTGTAGTATATCTCAGAAAAACAGGGATTCATGTCCGTCCTTCCATCCCTGGATGATTGGTTAGTGAGAGGCAAGTCCAGAGAACAAGTCCTCTGTCATGTCCAGTTCACACTATGTCTCTTTGATTAGCTGGGCCTCATTTTGAACAAACAAAATACCAACTCAAAACATTGAGTTCATTGGTGCCCTACTAGACTCTTGAGTTCGAGAGCATTTCTGCTGAATGATTGATTTCAAGCAATTTGCCTCCTATGTCTGGCACTCCAGTCTCAACCTTCAGCTATGGTCCATGTATTCCTGAAGTTACTAGGCCATATGGCTGCAAGCGCTTACGTAGTCCAGCATATGAGATTGCTCCATCATCCTCTTCAAGTGTGAGTGAAGTTAGTCTGTCACCCGAGACAATCAAAGTGATGACATATGAAATAGCTCAGACTACATCTCCGTAGAGATTACAGGCACACTCAGTGAGGGCCCAAGTGACATCAATAGCATTCTTCAGTGATGATCTGATATTGGGCATTTGCAAGGCTGCTACCAGGTCTTCTGTGCATTTACCAAGCACATGCTTTTACTACTGCATCTGACCAAGAAGCAGTAGTAAACTTTTGGAAAGGCAGTACTGCAGTCATTTCTTTAAGTAACCTCCGAGCCCCACCTCCTTGTGAGTCAACTGAGTGAAGTACATGTCTGCAGCCACTCGAAGAAGAAAAAAAGATTGTTGCCTACCCTGTACAGTAACTGTTGTTCTTCGAGATGTGGGTGCAGACATGTATTCCACGACCCATCCTCCAGCCCTACTGCATTAGAGCCCCAACTCTTGACATTCGCTGTGAAGGAACTGTGGGGGTTGGAGCCTGTGCTGCCCTTAAATATCCAGGGGAGGGGTTATTGGGCAAGAGGGCACAAGCGCTGCCCTGTGGATACTGCTGGGCAAAGTTCTCCGGCTTTTGTGCTCTGGGCACATGCACACCTGAGCGGAACACATGTCTGCACCCACATCTCAAAGAACAATAGTTACTGTACAGGTAGGTAACTGTCTTTTGTCTTCTAAATTGGAGAGACACAGGCCACTGACTTGGAAGGGCTGACATTTTTCTTTTATCCTCCCAGTTCACCACTGATTTATTGGGCTCTGTCTTAGTGTCTGGAGAATCATAGCCTGTAAAGATAATTGGGGCAGTAACAGTTGTGACCTTTATCAGTTATGCCTGTTGGGGCTGAAATTGAATAATTAACCCTCCTCGGAAGCTGCCAACGTCCCACAAAGGGCCCGGTGGAATTTTTATAAGACATTAAATCACACACAGAAGAACAATCTTGGAGCCCTTTATCCTGGTTTGTAAAGGATGTTGAGCTGCGTTTTTGGTTAAATATTTTCAGTGGGAGCTGTAATGTAAGTTTAATATCTATTATAGTTGTCTTGAAATAGAAGTCTACAGATAAATTTGCAATAGTGTGCACACACAGTCAGCACAGCAGTGACTGTCACTCCCTTATCTGCAGACAGTGTACTTTACACACAAACTAACACAATTCTTGAGGAGTACATGCTTAGAAGATAGTCAATAGGTGTTGCATAAATAAAATATAAAATATATATATATATATATATTTTAACGAAACAGTTTGAATAGAAAATGTTCTATCTGTTTTAAGAACATAACAGTGGCCATACTGGGTCAGATCAAAGGTCCATCTAGCCCAGTATCCTGTCTTCCAATCGTGGCCAGTGCCAGGTGCCCCAGAGGGAATGAACAGAACAGGTAATCACCAAGTGATCCATCACTTGTCGCTCATTCCCAGCTTCTGGTTTCATTGGATTTTTTCCCCCTCCCCTCTCTTCTTCCACTGGAAAGCAGATAGTTTTGTTAGATTTTAAGAGAACCATACACCTGCCCAGCGTACTGAGCATTAATTCATTTTTTGTATTTTTTTTTTGTTTAGATTTTTTCATTAGATAGCATATTTGGATTGATTTGGTCAAAACTTTGTAATAGGCTAGGTGCTGAAAAAGCAAGTAATTTGGCAAAAGTTGGTCAATATCTGTTGATACAAAAGAGTGATAGGCCTTGTTTAACTAACAGACTGTGAGGATTTTATTATCCTGTTCTTGTATTTTATTTATAGAATTGCAGGGGCATCGTTTGGATGATGTGTGTACCATTTTGTATTTGAGGAATGAACATACATACTTACAAAGTGAGAGTGTGTTCTGTTTCTTTTCCAAAACGTATTGGTTTGTTTCACAGTGTATTCTCAGGAAAAAATAAACTCAATTTATTGAGTGTGGAGAGGGGGTTGGAAAGGAAAAAACCCACCAACTCTGCTAGTAGTGGAAAGAGGGTTCAGATAGAAAACCCACAGGTTCTATTTCTTCTCCCTTTCTTGTGACCACAGAGTTCCATTGGAAGTGGCATGAGATGGGCTGGTAGCTCTGCAGGGATCTCAGCCTTCAGCGCAGTCTTTACTGTAACTGGCCTATTCATCTCCTCAAGAGCACTCCCACCTCTCCATTGTCAGGCCATCTCTCTCCCCTTTTTTGGGGAAGGAGAATCATTCTCATTCTGCCCTAAATGCAGCTACAGATATTTGTCAGGGATGGGTGTTGCTGCCCCCTTTTCCCCAGCTCCCAGTGTGTGGGTCCACTCTTGGGATCTCGAACCTCTGTGGGTCACTTGTAGGTGGGCAGATTGGGCTGGACATTGCTTGAGGATACCCATCCAAAGCTGGAGTTCTGAAGTGAGTTCTTGTATCATAAATGGATTGAGGCATTTGTGTTGTGGCTTTATTTCGTAGGAATTATTATTTCAACTTGTAGAAGGCTCTAATCTCACCTTCAGATGCTGCTTTGATTCTGTCTCTCTAGATACCCGAATACAGCCTGTGAACTCCTGACCTCTGATGTGCCACAGATCAATGACAAGCTAGGAGGGGATGAAACTTTATTGAATATCCTGTATGACTTCTTGGATCATGAGCCGCCTTTGAACCCTTTGCTTGCCAGTTTCTTCAGCAAGACTATTGGGAATCTCATTGCAAGAAAAACTGAACAGGTAGTGATTGAGTCTGTTTTGATACAAACACACTGATTACTAGTGACGTGGTTGTATGAGCACTGGACTGGCAATTTCTTCCCTCCTCCCCAGAGGAGGAAAATGCTGAGCTTTGTAGATCTGGTGTGGATTGCTGGAATTGGAAATGGAGTATGTATTTTGTAAGGCATCTTGTCAACCCTACCATTTGATGTGTGTGAATTGTTTGTGCACCTAGCAACTAGTATATAGCTTTCACTTTTGCTTCAGAGGGGCAGTTGTGTCTTGGGTATTGCACGTATGCCCATCCTTTGGCATTTTAACGTATAAACTTGTCATACATGTATTGTGCATACAACTAAGAGGCTTGAAATATTTGCATACAGTATTATGGGGATGAGTTAACTCCATTCTAAATTTTACTTCCCTTTAACATGGAGATATTTTATACAAAGGAGCCTCAGTGGGATTAAAAATTCTTCAGCTTCACCAGTGTCCTCAATCTTCATATATCTCAGTGGAATAGGATTTCTTTGGGACATGACAAAGGACTGTTAATGGAGTTCTTTGCATACCTATTCTCTCTCAAGAAGAATTATTTATCCTCCTACCTGTTTCTTATTGTTTGGTTGATTGAAACAGAAATTTTGGGAGTACTGAGAGCTCTGTGATGTCACCTCCATGTATTGTACAGAAAACTCATGTTACATTTTTTTTTTTAAAGGTGGTTGCATTTTTGAGAAGAAAAGACCAATTTATTAGCCTGGTACTAAAGCATATTGATACATCTGCAATGATGGACCTGCTGCTTCGTCTGATCAGCTGCGTGGAACCAGCACCTCTACGGCAGGAAGTATTAAACGTGAGGCTTGCTTAACGTTTCTCTGTGGTTGGTGCAGGGGGGAGGGAGGAGAATTTCTGAGGAGATATTACTCAGTTTCAAGTAATACGAGAGTAAATTCACTCCTCTTCTAAAAACATATTTTTCTTGCTTGTGCTAAGATCCACTGATCTGGTGCAATGGGTATGTCAGCTTGCTTGTAGCTTGGGGGCAGAATTAGGCCTGTCAGTCACTGGCAACAGGAATGCCCCACGTCCTGAAGTTCCCTTCGTTTGTTCCTGAGCCCCCAGTGAGCGGCAGGCTCAACAAGACCTCTTGCTGCCAAGCTTTTCTGAGGGGAATTTCCAAACTTTATTTCAGACTAACTGTTTGTCTCAATAACAGACTCTTTGGGGATCCCTACTCATATTTCTGGTTGAGACCTCCATGGGAAAAACAGACCTATCTGGCCCATGTGGATCCTATGCACAGAGAGGGTTAGAGCTTCTGGGAAGCCCATCATTAAACCCCAGGCCAATGCATTTCTTGAGAGACCCATAAAGGGCCCATGTGGAAGAAGGTAAATGAATAAGCCCAGCCTCTTCAAGGACAGGGAGATTGATAAACATATGAAATATTTCTGGAGCAATCTCTGAGCCCAGTTTTGCTCCCCCCTCAGAAGCAGGCTCATGGGGACAAGCTTCTAAAGGGGAAATAAATGAATACTAAAATCAATGCTTGGCCCACTGCTCACCTTCATGAAGTGCAGCATGGCAGATCAGCCAGAAAATATCAGACCATGGACATGTGCTGATTCCTCTAGGCATGAATATACCCCACCCCCCAAAAAAGGGAGCTCTTCTTCCTTTTTAGGGAGGAAGGCTAACAGCCCAAATCAGAGATAGGGAATCAAATAGTCAAAAACCAACCAACCAAACAAAAAAACATTAGAGGATAAATTCTCTGAGGTAAGAGTGTACTGAGTATTGTGAAACTAGGCTTAGGAGCTTCCCTAGACAAGCTATGACTCTATATCCCTCTTCATGCACCCTGGGAGAGTGTAATAGAGGGAAAGGGATTTCCCGCCACACCAAAAAGATTGGTAAAGTATCAGGCTGTTATCCCGAGCTGCAACTTTGGATCATCATGTGCCATACAAGGCATATGTGCTAGAGAGATTGGAGGTATGTGTAGGACAAGCAAACAAACAGGAGGTGGATGCTGGCATCCTTTGTGGAATAGAGAGGGAGGAACTATGTGTTTAAGATACAAGATCAGATAAGTTGGGAGCAGCTAAATTGGGATGGGTCTTGAAGGGAAAGACCAAAAGTTGGATTTTGACACAGTGGGGAAAGGGAAGCTAATGAAGGGATGTAAAGAAGGGAGAGTGACTTGATTAAAATGACAGGTTAGTCATTTGGCTAACCAAAGCATTTTGGTTGGACTTGTTTGTGTGACATGGGTGTCAGGTAGGCCAGAGAGAAAAGGTCAAGACAGGAAATAAGGACTTGAATGGTAGTTTTAGATGTATGCACAAAGAGAATAGACTGTTTCTCTGAAATGTTATGGCAACAGAAATAGCAACATTTAGATATGGCCAGGATGTGTGGGTCTAAAGAGAGAGAGTGAAGTCAAAGCTGCCCGTATTATGAGCTTGAGTGGGAGGATAGTGGTAATATCAATAGCAAGAAAGGGAGTTCAGTTTTTGCCATGCTGAGTTTAAGATGATTGCCAGGCTTACACAAGGAGATATTGAAGAGACTGGCTAAGATGTGGGATTTGGATAGGGAGTGACAGGTCAGAGGTACAGAGATAAATTTGAGTCATCAGCATGAAGACGGTATTTGAAGCCACGTGAGCAGATAAGATCCTCTGGAAAGTGGGTGTAGATGGAGGAGGAGGAGGGAGCCTGAGGGACCCCCACTGATAAAGGGAAATGGGTGGAGGAGGGAGACTCTAAATGAGACACAAGGAATGAACAGAGAGGTAGGAGGATAATTAGGAGCAGATGGGATTGTACAAACTAATGGAGGACAGGATTTTGAACAGTCAGGGAATGGTCAGTGGTATTCATAGCAGTTAAGAGATCAAAAAGGATGGAATAGAGGTCATAAGATTTGGTTAGGAAGAAGTCACTAGAAGCTTTAGTAAGAACAGTTTGAGGAGTGGAGAGGGCAGAAGCCAAGTTGGAGGCGAGGAACTTGGGTATAATGGTTATAGATGGCATGGTTTGGAGGTTTGGGAGGTAAAGAGAATAAGAGGAGATAGGACAATAGTTGGAGAGGTAGGAGGAGGTAAAGGGTTGGACCAAGGTCCCAGACCAAAGGAGGACCACTTTTTATGAAAATGGGAAGACAGAGTTTAACCTAGCAGCACTGTTGTGGCAACTGAAAATTTCAACTGTTTTCTGTAATGTAAACAGAGCTTCTGGACCATCTTTAAACACTTGATAGTAGGGTGATGGGGGACATATAACTAGATTTATGGATCTTGTCCTTTCCCCTCAGCCGATGCAGAATTGTTATGGCAGTATATTTTAAAGTACTGTGTCCACTTTCCATAGGAGAATATTCCCTGATCAAAGAGACTTCACAGATAGGATATGTTTCCTTTGTAATCCACCTGCTCACCTCTTACTTCCTTTCTGGTAGTTGATGATGGCTGAGACCCTTCTGGGAGAGAAGGGGCTTTGTAAAAGTCTGTCCTAATAAAGGTTCAGCTGGTGTTAATGGGGAATGATGCCTCCTGGAGAGGGGAGCAGGTTGCTGGGATTTAGGGTCCCTAGAACAGCTCCCACACTGGGCTGAAGAGGAAAGAGAAAGAAAGCACATGTTAAAACCCAAATTAATAAGTCCAGTTTGAGTATAAACATAGTTAAGAGTCAGACAGGGAACCGCATTCTTGACTAACTTGCTCAGTGTTTTCTGAAGATGTTACTCCCTTGTCTGCTTATATCTTGATCTTCACTCCAAGGGTCTGGAAGTTGAAATTGGACAAATTCAGACTGGAAATAATTACCGTCACTGTTAAAAATTTGCATCTTAACCACTGCAATAGCTTACCAAGGGTCATGGTGGATTCTCCATTATTGGCAACTTTTAAATCAAGAGTGGATGTTTTTCTAAAAGATCTGCTCTAGTTCAAACAGGAATTAATTCAGGGAAGTTCTCTGGCCTGTGTTATGCAGGAGGTCAGGCTAGATGATCAGTGGTCCCTTCATGCCTTACAACCTATAAATCTATGGGCACAATATGTTAGGTGATATTGGCACAGGTATCCTTTGTGGTTGAGGTCAGGTCACAAAAACTACTATACCCCTTGCTTGAGACATTAGACTTAATTAAGGTGTTTGACTTGGTACTGTATGACATTTTGATTAAAAAACAAACCTAGACGGTATAAAATTAACATAGGACACGTTAAATGGATTAAAATCTGGATAATGGATAGGTCTCAAAACGTAATTGTAAACTGCCAATCATCATTGAATAGGTGTGCTTCTAGTGGGGTGCCACGGGGACTGGTTCTTAGCCCCCTACACTATTTAACGTTTTTATCAATGATCTGGAAGAAAACATAAAATCATCACTGATAAAGTTTGCAGATGACGCACAATTTGGAAGTGGTAAATAATGAAGAGGACGGGTCACTTCTCTGATCACAGAGTGGTCTAGATTGCTTAGTAAACTGGGCACAAACAAAATATGCATCTTAATACAGCTAAATATAAATGTGTACATCTAGGACCAAAGAATGTAGGCCATATTTAGAGAACAGGGGACTCTATCCTGGGAACCAGTGACTGTGAAAAAAGATTGGGAGTTCTGGTGGTTAAGCAGCTGAACATGGCATTGCTGTAGCCAGAAGGGCAAATGCAATTCTTGGATGCATAAATAAGGGAATCTGAAGCAGGAATAGAGAGGTTATTTTACCTCTGTATTTGGCACTGGTGCAACCAGTGCTGCATTAGTGTGTCCATTTCTGGTGCCCATAATTCAAGAAGAATGTTGATAAATTGGACAGGGTTCAGAGAAGAGCCACGAGAATGACTGAAGGACTCAAAAACATGCCTTATTGTAATACATTCAAAGCTCTGAATCTATCTAGCTTAACAAAGAGAAGGTTATGGGGTGACTTGATTACCTACATGGGGAACAAATATTTAATAATGAGCTCTTCAGTCTAGCAGATAAAGGTCTAACATTATTCAATGGTTGGGAGTTGAAGTTAGACAAATTCAGATTGGTGTGTGTGTAAGGTGTAAATTTTTAGCAGTGAAACTAATTAACCATTGGAACAATTCACCAACGGTTGTGGTGGATTCTCCAACACTGACAATTTTAAAATCGATATTGGATATTTTTATGTAAAATACCTGCTCTGTGAATTATTGTGGGGAAGTTTATGGTCTGTTATACAGGAGGTTAGATTAGATTATCACAGTGGTTTTGTTTGGTTTTTGAATCTATTATATATATATATAAATAAAAATTTGGAATCTATTATATTATATATAAAACTAGAGAATTAAAACAAGACACATTGTAGGAAAAAATTATGCATTGGTCAAGAAATGGATCTGATGACTTAATAGGTCTTACTCATCTCTATTTTCTGTGTTTCCATAAGATTTATTTGTATTAAGAAACATAGTGAATCCATCTCAGTTGGCTTCAACTCCCATTAAATTTACTGACTTGGTCTGGCAGTTGTTGCAGGGACAATACATAGCAAAGATTTGATGTTATTTGGTCAGTACAAGTTAACATACAACAATTTCTAGCCCTGAGGAAGTGGAGTGTAGTACTTCTGTCTTGTGGACTGTGAAATAGAGGGAGACTAATTTTCCTTATTGTATGTATCCCTTGCTAAGCAGTGCTTTGCGGTAAGTAGCAACTGACCGAGTTATGTGATCTCAAACCAGGGACTCTTTCCTTTCTCCTCAGTGGCTTAATGAAGCAAAAGTAATTCAGAGACTTGTGGCGCTGATCCATTCGAGCCAGGATGAGGATGTGAGTGTGACATCACTTATTTTTTTGTCTGATTTTGTAAACTTAATAAGAGGCCTATAAGCATGAGTACTTGAGAGTACTCTTTCTCTGACTCCTGGAAGAATGCCCATCTTGCTAATGGGAAGAGAATAGTAATGGAGAGTATGTGTGGCGGTGCTGTCTTTCTTTTGAGTACCCAGCCTGAAATCAATTCGTGGGGTTTTCTCTAGCTATTTGAGTACCAGTTTCCTGCTCATTCAAAGCCAAGCTCTGTGTGGTATGAATTTAGATGGAATCCTTACAATCAATGATGATTCAATGGGGTTTATTGAGAACTTGCTTCTTGGAGTATGCTATTGAAAGACGTTGACAACTGGCTAGTAGTGGTCTTTAGCTAATTTTTAAGCCAAAAACAATGTTTTTGTTTTAATATCCTACTAAAATCTACAAGATGCACTTAACGGAATTTGAGCCTGTGCAAAAAATGTGCCAAGTATTAGATTATACAGATAAAAATGGACAGCTCAAATACTGCAACTAAAGGTTTGTGATGTAAACCAGTGGTATTTAAGGAATTTTGTTAAAGAACTCTTTTGTGTGTTTCATATTTTTAAGGAAGTAAGAAATATTACTGAGCAGAGATAAGCAAAGATGAAACATCTGCAGTAACAGTCTTGACTGAAAAACGATAGAAAACCCCCCCTCATTTTGAAATTTTACAGTTTATTTTAACTTACTAGTTAAAGAAAACCCTTTCTTTGATTCTAACATCTTCCTGTTAATTATGTTGCTGATATGAATGATGCTTTCAATCTAAGCTTATATCTTCATAGCTAGTTAATTAAGGCAGAATTTATCTGATCTTCCATCTTATCTTGGAGTACTGCTGGCTTTGAGCTGAGGGATTCTTGTTTGTTTAGTTCCATGCATTGCTGGCTGCTGTTCTCTCTTCTGTCCCAACTGCATTACATTTCCTCTGAAGGCCATGATGAACCCAGCTGTGCAGTTAGTACTTAAATGTGACCTTTGACATTGTTTACAGAGGCAATCAAATGCTTCCCAAACCTTGTGTGATATCATAAGACTGAGCAGAGACCAGGGAAACCAGCTACAGGAGATATCTGAGCCTGACCCGCTTCTCACAGCACTGGAATCGTAAGTACATGTCAGAGGAGTATTACTAAACTAAAATGACTGTTGCTGGTAACGTTATTTCCTGATACATCTGGGGCATGAACCATGCAGTAAATAATCTCAGACCTTTGCCACACTCCTCACAATTGTTCTAACTAACGATATTTATTGTTGCTACATTATGGTAACACCCAAAGGCCCCAATCAAGCTTTACTGTACTTTTGCATTGCACAAAGACATAGGAAAACTTGGTCTCTGCCCTGAAAAGCCTACACTAATAAAAAAGACACCACCGTTGAGAGTGACAAACAGAAGGGAACTGGGAAGACGGTAATGGGGGTAATGCGCTCACCAGAGTGTCTGACTATTTCATAAACATTAATTTATTTCCACAGCTCCCCTGTGAGAGGTTGATGTTAGCACCCTATTCCATATAAGGGAATTCATAACCTTAACTGCTTCAGTTCCTTTGCTACTGCTGCAGGGAGCAAACTGAACTTTCCCTCATGCCCTCAGACTAGATCTTCTCTTAGCCTAGCTTCATGTTTTCTTGTCAATAGTTAGTTTAGAGCATTATAGGACAGCTCCGTATATATAGCTTCCCTCATCCTGAGGACCTTCAGTTCCTCACCAGGACTGTGTGTTGGACACTGAGTTTTGTATGGGCTTCCAGAGATGTGCCCTCTTGCCTGATGATCGTACCAGAAATGAACACCTACATCTGGTGATCTCTATGTCTGGGTGAGACCCACCTGGTAACCCAGTGCATGGTTTGCTGTGTCTTCACTGCCTGTGCTAGAAGGGATTGATGCCTGAGGTTCCAGGCTCTAACTGCCTACAGCCTGATATTCAGAGAGGCCCATCAAGGGTACCAAGACCAGCCTTCATGCCAAGGTAATTTTTCTGTTATGGCTTCACCTCTGTGATTTATCATGGGCTTGAGATATGAATCTTTTTTTGCCCACTACTGGGAGCAAATCCTTTACCTAGCACCATCTGACTCCACTGGTGCCAGTTTAAATAGTCTAAATAGGTACTGACACCACCTGTTAAGGCCTCAGTAGCCTTTAGTGATGATAGAGGAAGCACCGACTTTGGTGTCCGGTCTTTACTCGCACTGTTGCTCTTGGAACTGACTCTGGACTTGTCTTCCGAGGCTGATGCCTCTGTTTTGGAACCAAAAGTCCACATGGATGCTGCTCCAGGTAAAGGGAAAGAGAAGAGGAAGCACATCTTCCCATAAGAGGGGCTCAAGCAGAAGAAAAAGGAAGTGCCATCTCTCTTCTCCTTCGTGCTTTCTGACCTACGAATTCTTTGAAGATGCTCAAATGGCACTGCTGTCACCTCCTCTCTACGCTCCTCTAGAGTGGGATGTCTCTGGACTGACTAATTTAGACTCCTTGTTGTTTTGGATCCTGATAACACCTTTAGTCTCTCTTTGCCTAAGGAGCATCCACTATTGAGGCTACTAGCCACCTGTCCGCATGCTTTTCCATTGCTTCGCTTGGTACCTGCATAGACTTTCTCTGGTCTCAATCCGGAATCACCTCAGAATAGCTTCATCCCCTTCAAAAATTAACCTGGAGGGTCCCCGACTTTGAGATTCCAGTCTTCTTCCCTCATCTCAGATCCAGGCATCATACAAGGCCCTCTTCAGCTCCTTATGTGGCCCTTATACAGGACTCCATGAAAGCCTTGCTAGAGGCTGTGAGAACAACTGCAGCATTAACTGCCCTGCTGATACTGATACCTTTTCTGGCACTATTGCCTCCCTCAGCACCAATCCCCTTGTCAGCGCCTATTCCTCACTCAGTACCAACACAACCTTCCTTGCCAGCACCAATGCCTGCACCAGACCCCTCAGATCTGCAGAAAGGGTCTACCTATTTTTGAGGAATGGAATGAGACTCCCTCAGAGAGACCATACAAATTCCCTTCTGAGGAGCATTTAGGTGGCACCTCAGCAGAATATCATATTAGTGCTTCATCTGTTTTCTCTCCTGACTGACAGAGGTAGTTTCATGCAAGGTCCACTCATCTTTATACAGAAGTTGTCAATCTCTGGAATTGACGCATCTGTCACCAGGTCACCCGCTCAGCAGTGCACCTTCCAGGGGAGCACAACACTTTCTCAGACTGCCTCAGGAGGCATTTCTCTAGAGACCGTGAGTGGGAACTGAGTGACTCAGTAGTGCAGAGCATCTTTCAGTAATGGAGATTCTTGTTGGGGGGATTTCTTTGCATCTCAAGAGAACAGCCTACTGTTCCTGCACAGCTAGAGGCCACAATTCCAGAGGAGATGCATTTCTAGTACAGTGTTCAGAACCACTGATGTACTCATTCCCATTCTTTCCTTTTGCCCTGAGTCCTGAGAGAGTGCAAACAAGATGAAGTGTCAGTGATCCTAGTGGCCATTCAGGTTCACCAGCTTTCTCCAGATGTCCTCATACCTTGACCCAGGACAAGGGCAAGATCCTCTGTCCCAATCCAACATCTCTCCAGCTAGCAGCTTTGTATTTGAATGGACACTGAGCTTAGAAAGGGTTTGCTCAGTGGCCATACCATTCCTCATTAGCAATAGCAGAAAAGACTTCAGGAGAAAATGAAATGGAAAACATTCTGTACCTGGTGCCAGCATCGTTGGATACCCACAGAAAGTTCCAAAATCCCTTCGTATTCTGACTATCACCTATCTCTAAATATTTCAGGGCTGTCCCTTAGCACCATGCAAGTACACTTGGTAGCTATTAGTGTTTTTCACTCTCCAGTGGACAATCATTCAGTCTTTGCCCATCTGACAACAGTAAGATTTCAGAAGGGGCTTGTCACAATCTTTCTTCAGTGCTGAAATCTACTGTGATATGGTACCTCACTTCAATTCTTTCAGCATGAACAAATCCCCCATTCGAGCCGTTAGCTTCATGTACCTTCACTCATCTGTGAAGGTTGCCTTTCTGGCTGCAGTGATTGGAAGCAGAAAAGCAGGTGAGCTGGGGCTCTTATGGCGGACTTTACCTATATGGCCTTCCACGAGGATAAACATTCGTTGACATTACATCCAAAGTCGATTCCTAAAGTAATGTTGGAATTCCATCTGAGCCAGGTCATCCATCTACCCATCTTCTATTCAAAACCCCACACCTTCAGAGAACACAGGAAGCTCCACCCTTTGGATGTCCATCAAGCATTGGCATTCTGCCCGCAGAGGACAGAAGCCTTCAGGAAATCTCCCAAACTATTTGTATCTTTCACCAACCTATGAGAAGGGGAATCTCAGGCTGCATCCTGGTTGGTTATGAATTAATGGTGGCCGCTCCCACAAGGAGTTAGAGCCCACTTGATCAGAGTCCAGGCTGCATCATTAGCTTCCCTCTGTGATGGATGTGTGGTGCAGCCACATATGGCTCTGTGCATAGCTTTTGTGAGACAGTACGCTGTTGTACAAGATTCTACAACAGATGCATCCTTCGGGAGAACGGTCATCTGTTCTGTGGTACAGCAGGGCCCCTTGCACCCTCCTCCTCCTCAGTGAATACTGCTTATGAGTCATCTCAAGTGGAGTACACACCGAGACCATCACTTGAAGAAGCAAAAGAGATAACTGGAGTTCTTCCAGATCTGTACATAGTTGTAGTCCACTACTCACCTTCCTCCTCTGCTCTGGATCCTGATTGTAAAGTTATTTGGGATAGAGAAGGCACTGGAGAGGTGATTGGCCCTCACTGGTCCTTTATACCCTTGATTTGGAGCATGAGGAGGAGAAGGGTGCAGGCCTGGACCAACGGACACACTGCTAGTGAAAAATCTTCCTGTCTCAGGTGCATGGTGCATATGTGCACCTTGAATGGAATACACAGTGGATACCACACAGCTCAGAGAACTCCAGTGACTGCTTAGGGTAAGTAACCTCTCTTTGCGGAAACTGGTAGAAGCAGTGAGAGTTAGGGATTAACAACTGAAGTGCATAGACTTGGAAAGCATTGGTTGTAGCCCTACCTTTGATTTTCAAAGTGGGAAATGTCCTTTGTACTGGTTTTTGGAGGAATGTTCAAAACATATTTGTAGAAGCCACTTTGGAAAAATAGATTTGGTCACAGATGAGGAACTAGAGATTGCATTCAGATCATTATGGATGAGTGAGAGAGTTCACAGTGCCAACCAAAACCTTGTCTTGATGCTGTCTTTTGTTTATTGTACACATTAGACTACAGTGACATGAAATGGGCAATCAAGGATTACCTGTTTGCCACACGCTAGGCGAGTAGAGATACTACCTGCCTACATTTGTGCTGGTCAGTCCCTAAACCTGAATTGGAGAGTCACATCTGTATATTTATAGTTTTTAAAGCCAGAGGTGACTGTTATGATCATCTAGTCTGAACTACAACACAAAACAGGCCACCAGCTTTCCCCCAGTGATTTGTGCATGTAGCCCAATAACTTGTGGTGGGGCTAGGGCATATTGCTTAGGAAGACATTCAATCTTTACTTAAAGACACCTTGAGGTGGAGATTCTACCCTTTTTCTTGGTGATAATTTGTTCCAGTAGATAATTACCACCACTGTTGGAAATTTGCATCTTATTTACAGTTTGATCTTATTATGCCTTTGGCAGATAGATTAGAGCCCAGTAGCATTTGATATCTTCTCCATGGGATCTGTACAGGTACTTATAGACTGTGCTCAAGTTACCTTTTAACCTTCTCTTTGATAAGTTGAATAGATGGAGTGCACGGTGTTGGCCAGCTAGCAATTCATAATGTAGAGGCATTCCTCTGCTCATGTGAGCTGGAGCTACTTTTTGCTTCAGAGAGTCGATGGTGTAATCAAGTACATGCCCAAACCATAGATAAGCAGACTCCTAGACCTGACATAGTCCGTCCCAGTATATCTGCCACTGAGAGGGGAGTTCCCCTCATCTGTCTTCCAAAGAACTGCTCTTTCTTTATTTCAGAAATTGAGTGGGTAGTTTTAAAATTAAAACAATTAATACTGCAAACTGTTTGTGTCTCTGATGCCTTTCTTTAACTCCCGTGTGTCATTTAACAGGCAGGAATGCGTGGAGCAGCTTTTGAAAAACATGTTTGATGGAGACCAGACTGAAAACTGCATAGTGAATGGAACTCAGATTTTATTAACGTTATTGGAGACAAGGCGCTCTGGGTAGGTTTACTCCTCTTAGCAAGAAAATGTTACAGCTCAAAATCTAGTTTGACTTTGTTCAGAAAATAAGTACCTGGCATACTTTCAGGGGCTGCCTAAAAACAAATACAAGAAAAGCTGTTTTTAAATGCACTAGTTGTGCTTCCATGTAGCATCTCAGGGTTGTAGCCGCATTGTGCTAGGGGCAAACACATAGGAAAGCACATCTTTACACCAGAGAACTTACAATCCAAATAAAAACAGAAGGTGGGAGAAAGAGGTATAACTAAGGGGAGGCACACTTCACTGTTTGTAGGCCAAGCTCATTGCATACACTAGGAATTCCTAGCATCTCTCCACCCCCCACAATCTCCCTGTGTGCCTTCAACCTCTATCCCCCATGCCAGGGGCTCTTTGCATCCTCATACCCTCCTCCCCCCGTACAAGAGTGACCCATTCCCCTCATGTCAGGGCCTATGGCACACCCCTGTTCCCCCATACTCGAGTCATCCATTCTCCCCCATGTCAGGGACTCTATGTGTGCCTCTTCTGCAAATGCCTTTTCATTCCCCTTTCTTCTTCTCTGTCTCCTTCAGTCTGTCAGAGAGGGGTATTTTATGCTGGAATATGCTAACTTCTGCCATCAGCAGGTTCTTTGATCTGTAGAAAAATTAGAAGTGATTGAAACTGTGGCTGTGATAATCAGATGCCGTGGGCTCCCTGCCCCCATTTGCCCCTTTTGTTTTTTCTGTTTTTTACCATAATCAATAGGGCTCTGATCATTCCCTGACAGTTTGATCCGATGAGGTGTTCAAAACTTATCAAGTTACATCCAGACAGAAAATGCCACCAAGCTGAGTGCAAGGGCCTCACAAGGTTGGCCAATAACTCCCCAAACAATAAATGGGGACTGGAATCCTAGAAATGTAGAGCTGGAAGAAACATCAAGACGTGATCCTATGTAGCCCTCTGTGCTGAGGCAGGACCAAGTAAACCTAGACCATCCCTGACAGGTGTTTGTCCAGCCTGTTCTTAAAACCCTCCAATGATGGGGATTCCACAGCCTCCCTTGGAAGCCTGTTCCAGAGCTTAACTGCCCTTGTAATTAGAATATTTTTTCTAATATCTAATCTAAATCTCTGTTGCTGCAGATTAAGCCCATGACTTCTTGTCCTACCTTCAGTAGACATGGAGAACAATTGATCACCATCCTCTTTATAACAGCCCTTGACATATTTGAGGACCATGATCAGGTCCCCCCTCAGTCTTCTTTTCTTAAGACTAAACATGCTCAGTTTTTTTTAACCTTTCCTTGTAGGTTAGGTTTCCTAAACCTTTTATAATTTTTGTTGCTCTTCTCTGGCCTGTTTCTAGTTTATCCATCTCTTTCCCAAAAATGTGATGCCCAGAATTGGACACTACTTCAGCTGAGGCCTCACCAATCCTGAGAAGAGCAGGACAATTGCCTTCTTTGTCTTACATGCAACACTCCGGATTGATAATAGCCTTTTTCACAACTGCATCGCGTTGTTGACTTGGCTCTGTTTGTGATTGACTAGAACCCCGATCCTTTTCAGCTGAACTGCTTGTCTACCAGAAACTCCTTCCTGTTTCCTCAGAACAGACGGAAGGAAGTGTAGGTTTGCAAGGCCATCAGGAGGCTTGCGAAGCAAGAATTATTTTGTGGTCACGGCACTGGCAGTGACTTGACATCTGGATTCAGTTTCCAGCTCTGCCACGGATTGCTTGTGGGGGCTCAGGGAAAATCACTTAATTTCTCTGTAGCTCACTTCTTCATCTGTAAAAGGAAGATAATGCTTCCCTGCCTCGCCAGGGTACATTAAAGTTTGTTGTGCACTTAAAAATACTCAAGCGATCGGGGCTATATCAGCTAGTGTATTTGCATTATTCTTGTTAAACATGTCTTGAAGTTTTGTTAGAGCGTTTAACAGTTGTGTACAAGATTAACACTTCCAGATACATCTTTAATGCTTAAATATTTCAGAAATGTTAAACACAAGGACATATTTTAATTCTTTTTTCTTTGCTGTCCTCAGTATGATGAGTAAACAGTAATTTACTCTGTCATCGCACTCTGCCTCATGGATTTGTATTTACATAGTATTTAAAACTTCAGCCATCAAGAAATAGTTTCTCTTGGAAAATAGCTGTGAATTTGAAGAGGGAATTAGAAGGCCAGATAATAGGGCTGGGATGGGTTGCTGATGAAGTCAAGCATGGCTACTTTTGGTGGTTTTGTCCAAGTTTTGAATATTATGTTTTACCTTTCTCCCTACAGAGTGGAGGGACTGATGGACTCATTCTCTCAGGGATTTGAAAGGTCTTACACTGTCAATAGCAGCATCTTACATGGTATTGAACCACGGCTAAAGGATTTTCACCACCTTCTACTCAATCCCCCCAAGGTAAAGCACCTTAGCCCTTCCTGTGTTCACAGTAGCTGACAACATGCACTTCAGAGGTTTTCTTTCCTCTCTGTGTAAGATCATTTACCTCCTGGATATTTTCAGTTTTGCTCACCTAAAAGCATCATGTACTAAAAAAACAAAATCCTAAATAAATTAACTTAAACCCTCAAAGAGAAATTCAGAGTTCAGTTTTAGACTTTAGATGTCTAGCTACCAAGTGGTGGGATTTGGCGGCCGAGTTGCTGTATTTGAGTAACATTAAGGATATTGTTCTATTGTAACTAGGGTTTTGGAGAGGTGTGTGTGGAAAGGAAGCATTTCCAAATACAGACTGTTGGAATTCATGAATATTCTGATTGGCATGCAAGTCTGCTATTAATCCCGTGGGATAGTTATATTATCAACAGATGGCTATGTCTCCCATAGGGCAGGACTTCTGTCCTTTCATGAGCCCTTTATAATAAAGATTCGTATTTACTCATTAGTGGTTGTAGCTTTCTGAAATTTGATATAGAAAATACTATCTGAATATTGTTCGTTTTGATTCAGAAGTTATTTAATTTCACTTACTGGTCCCTGGACATGACTCAGTGGGTAGAAGGAAAGGGTGACTTAGGTATCAAACAGTTTCCTTAGCAGAGGAGGTTTACATGAAGCTGAACTGAATGTAAAATCAGACAAATGTCTGATTAGAGTAATGCCATTTTGACTTATGTAGAGATGGACTCAAAATCTGGTTCCTTTTTCTGTTTGTGGTAGAAAACGTCAATCCTGACTACAATTGGTGTCTTGGAGGAGCCATTGGGGAATGCTCGTCTTCATGGAGCTCGACTAATAGCTGCTCTGCTTCACACAAACACTCCCAGTATTAACTATGAACTATGCAGACTCAATACCATGGATTTATTACTTGTGAGTAATACAGTGTGACATACTATGGAAGAATATGCTGTTTAAACAGAGAACATTATCTGTGAGCCGTACAATACAAAGACAGGTACACTGTATTTAATGTATGCCTGTTTGGAGTGTCTAATTAATTGCTTAATCTGCTGAAAGTAGGAATACAGGAACTCCTCACTTAAAGTCGTCCCGGTTAACGTTGTTACCTTGCTGATCAGTTAGGGAACATGCTCTTTTAAAGTTGTGCAATGCTCCCTCTAACGTCCTTTGGCAGCTGCCTGCTTTATCCACTGCTTGCAGGAAGAGCAGCCTGCTGCAGCTAGCTGGTGGGTGGTTGGAACCAGGGTGGACCGGCAGCCCCCCATCAGCTCCCCGCTATCAGCTCCCCGCTCCCCTAAGTTCCCTGTGCAGCAGCTGCTCAGCAGGCTATCAATTGCCAGCAGTTCAGTTGTCCCTCCCCACACTGCCATGTGCTGCTCCTGCCCTCTGCCTTGGAGCTGCTCCCTGAGACTCCTGCTTGCTGTGTGGGGGGGAGGGGAAGAAGAGGGGGACTAATGTCAGGGTGTCCCACTACCCCCGGCTCATGCACCCTGCTTACCCCATCTTCCATAGAGCAGGTGGGACACATGGACAGAGGGAGCTGCAGTCCCTCTCAGCTTGCTGATCTAATTAACAAGGCAGTGTACTTCTGACCCCACTCTTCATACTTAAAGGGGAAATGCCATCTCTGTCTCTCAAACACAGGCAGGGTCTGTGTCTCTGTCTCTGTCTGCCCTCCCTCCTTTCCTGCTGCCTTGTAAAGTGAGAAAGTTAACCTTGGAGGGCTCGGCCAATTGCTAGTTCATCATTTAGCAGTAATGACAGGTTACAGAGTAGCAGCCATGTTAGTTTGTATTCGCAAAAAGAAAAGGAGGACTTGTGGCACCTTAGAGTCTAACCAGTTTATTTGAGCATAAGCTTTCGTGTAGCTCACGAAAGCTTATGCTCAAATAAATTGGTTAGTCTCTAAGGTGCCACAAGTCCTCCTTTTCTATTTAGCAGTAAGGCATTCCCTGGGAAATATCCCGCCCTCTGACTCCTCCACCTCAGCCAAGCTTCACAATCATCAGCACTGTGTACCAGTATTAAATTGTTTGTTTAAAACTTATGCTGTTTGTGTGTGTGTGTGTGTGTGTGTATATATATATATATATATATATATATAAACACACATACAGAGTCTGGTGAAAAAATTTCCCTGGAACCTAACCTCCTCATTTACATTAAGTCTTATGGGGAAATTGGATTTGCTTAACATCGTTTTGCTTAGTCGCATTTTTCAGGAACATAACTACAACGTTAAGTGAGGAGTTCCTGTATCTATTCTCAGACTAGTCTTTATAACATAATTATAGTTGGTTAATGTGTTTAAACCGACCTCAAACTTTCAAGATAGGAAGCAAGACTAAAAAGTATGGTAAGAGGGCCACCCTGGCTTAACTAGGAGATCTTCTCTTGTTTCTCGTAAACCAGAGAAATATAGCCTAGACCAGGGGTTCTCAGGACAAATTTTTTGGTGGCCTCAGAGCGCGCCGCTCTCTCACTTTTCCCTAAAACACTTAATTAGCTTTAGGAAAAACAAATAAATATGCATATACATACATGGCCAAATCATTGTAATTTATTTATTGCTAGCTAATAAGTCTGTTGTGAAGAATGACATTAACAAACATACAAGTATCACTTTTCACAGCAGTCTTACTCAGCCCTGCTAAGCCTGGGGACAAATTAAGCCCTGGATGAAGGGTCGGGGAAGCAGCAGGGGCCAGGGACAATGGGGGTTGGAGGGCTAGGGGAGTCAGCGGGGGGCTGGAGCCTGAAACCCCGGAGCCTGGCACCTGCCGCTGCACAGCCAGACCCCGGAGCTGGAGCCTGAAACCCCTCGGCCAGAACCTGCCACCCAAGAACTGAGGCCCAAAGCCAAATCCCCACCACCCCATGGAAAATGGGGAATTCACCAGCTGTCTGCTCCTCCAGCTTTGTGCCCAGGTTGTCTCCAGAGGGGCGCAGAGCCCAACCCTGGCTGGTGGTTCCAACAATCAACACTGAGGCCTTGTCTACACTGCCACTTTACAGCGCTGCAACTTTCTCACTCGGGGTGTGAAAAAACACCCCCCTGAGTGCTGCAAGTTTCAGCTCTGTAAAGCGGCAGCGTAGACAGTGCACCAGCGATGGGAGCCACGCTGCCGGCACTGGGAGCTACTCCCCTCGTGGAGGTGGTTTTTTTTATAGTGCTGGTAGAACTCTCTCCCAGTGCTGGTGCTGTGACTACACAGCCACATTAAAGCACAGCCTTGTCGCTTTAACGTTGCTAGTGAAGACATAAGCTAAAGCTATGACTGCACTGGCAATTGAATGACAAAACTTTTGTCTTTCAGAGGTATTAATCCTCCCCACCCCTCGAAAGACAAAAGTTTTGCTCCGACAAGTTGCAGTGTGAACAGCGCGTTGTCGGCAGGAGCACTCTCCTGCTGACAACACAAATGCCACTTGTTGGGGGTGGAAGTTTTTTTGTCAGCAGGGGAGCCGACGAACAGCTGCTGCACTGCACGACTTTTAGTGGCAGAGCTGTAGCGACACAGCCGTGTCGTTAAAAGCAGTGTAGTGTAGACATAACCTAAGGTGGTGCATCCAGGAGCAATAGGGAGGTGGAGGGGCCACTCCCCCTCCCCATGCCCACCCACCATCACAACCACGAAGGCTGTCACCACAAGAAACCCCCTGATGGCCGCATGCAGTCACGGTGGCCGCATTTGAGAAATGCTGGCCTGGATGAATCTACCATAACGTGGGTGCTCAGGTGGCTGGAAAACTGTACTCAGGGAGTACTTATCAGTGGTTCACAATCAAGCCGGAAGGCCATGTAGAATGAGATCCTGCAGGGATCTGTCTTGGGTTCAGTTCTATACAGTATCTTCATAAATTATTTGGATAATGTCATAGAGATTACACTTACAAAGTTTGCAGACGCTACCAAGCTGGGAGGAGTTGCAAGCACTTTGGAGGACAGGATTAAAACTCAAAATGATCTTGACAAGCTGGAGAAATAGTCTGAATTAAATAGGATGAAATTCAATAAGGACAAATGCAAAGTACTAAACTTAGGAAGGAATAGTCAACTGCACAAATACAAAATGGGAAATGACTGCCTAGGAAGGAGTGTTGCAGAAAAGGATCTGGGGTTTTTAGTGCATCACAAACTAAATACAAGCTAGCAATGTAATACTGTCAGAAAAAAAGCAAATATCCTTCTGGGATGTATTAGGAGGAATGTTATGAGCAAGATACGAGAAGTAATTCTTCTACTCTACTCAGCATTGATAAGGCCTCAACTGGAGTATTGAATCCAGTTCTGAGCACCACACTTAAGGAAAGATGGGGACTAATCGGAGAAAGTCCAGAGGAGAGCCACGAAAAAGATGAAAGGTCTAGAAAACATGACCTACAAGGAAAGATTGAAAAAAATTGGGTTTCTTTAGTCTGGAGAAGAGAAGACTGAGGGGGCACATAAATCTTCAGGTACAGAAAAGGTTGTTACAAGGAGGAGGGTGATAAATTGTTCTCCTTATCCACTGAGGATAGGACAAAACATAATGGGATTAAATTGCAACAAGAGAGATTTTGGTTAGAGGTTAAGAAAAGCTTCCTAGCTGTCAGGGTAGTTAAACACTGGCACAGATTGCCTAGGGAGGTGGTGGAATCTCCATCACTGGAGTTGTTGGATAACAGATTGGACAAACATCTATTGGGGATGGTCTAGATAATCGTGGGCACTGGACTAGGTGACCTATCAGTGTCGCTATGATTCTGTGATTCTTCAACATTAACTGTTAAAGTAACTTAGCAGAATGTTTGTAAAATAGCCTAGTTACATATTGTGAAGTCTCAGATGTTTAATGGGAGGGACTCCAGATCTCCAAGAAGAGATTTTTTACCCTCTGCTCAGCCTTACCCTGGGGTATAAACCAAATAAATTCCACAATAACTAAGAAAATGGCTTAGGAAAAATTATTTCTGATATTTTCTGAGTGGTACAGTTAAGTTATTGTCAGTGATTATTTTTCATCATAGCCAACCAAGCCATAGGATAGAGAATATATCTTAATTTAGTTGTGCTGTGAGTCAGAGTTCTGTTTGTGTATGATTTAGAGGAAGTAGAGTGCATTATGTTTGGTTATAACTTACGTGTTGGAAGAGTTTGTTGTGGAGGTGAGATATCTGTGAGTGCGTTTTAGTGTAATGCTGTTTAGATGTTATGCTCCTGGGGGAATTGTGCTCCAAAGAATTAAAATTATGTGCACAATGCTTTAAAATTCTGCAAAATTATTCATATTTTGTCAAAATAACACAATATAATCACACCAGTTATAATTATTTTGGTAATTTATTTCAAAATACTTGTCAGCAAGTATGTCTGTAACAATAAAGACAAAAAAAAAGATTCAGGAATTTTTTTTTTTGACAAATGAACTTGTTACTAGGCATATTAATACAGAACTTTGAGTAATTCATTTACGCTACAATACAGAATCGCATTTCCCACACCCTGCAGAAGCACTGTAAAGGCTTGGGGGAGTCGGAAGTAACGGAGGAGTTGAGAGAGAGGGAAGGAGCCTGGGAGTGAACCTGAAGAGTTGTTGGGTGTAGGTGGGAGAAGTATGGAACAGTTTCTTTTGGGGGAGAGGGGGAGGGATTGCTAGGGAGTTGGGGAGCCTCCCCCATGCAGACCTTGGCTGACCCTGAGCCTCACCCATTCAGTCAGGCACATCTGCCCTTATTCCCGCACTCCCCATCCCCATGTGGTCCTGCACCCCCCTACTCCCTGTCCCCATATGGCCCTGGAGCCCCATCCCATTCAGCCCCTGGCTCAGTGCTAGCTCCTGAGCCCACGCCCCAGTCTGTTGCCCCCCACTAGCCCTTCTGAAACCCAGTCTGTGACTCCACCAAGCAGCCCTGCGTGCCCCACTCTGCCTCCTAACCTGGCTCCACAGGCTGGCTGCTGTGATGAACGCAGATTGCTGGCAGCTGTTACTGCTGGTCAGCCGGCTGTTCTGGCACCACGTCTTGGGCTGAATGTATTTTCTGCAGGGGAAAACAATTTTTTGCGCCAGACATGAATTCTGCTCGTGTATAGTGGCACAGAATTCCCCCAGGAGTAATGATGTTAAGGCATATGAATGAAGATTGCCTTAACTGTTGTTTTCCTTGATTTTTAGTGATTATCTTGGTGGAGTTAGTACTTGAGCTTTGTTTGGGCAAATTAGATAACACTTTTGCAGTCTCAGGGGACCTCAGTTTTTGGAGTGAAGCCTGCATAGAAACCAAGCTGCACCATTATATGCATCCGATGAAGTGAGCTGTAGCTCATGAAAGCTTATGCTCAAATAAATTGGTTAGTCTCTAAGGTGCCACAAGTCCTCCTTTTCTTTTTTCGAATACAGACTAACACGGCTGCTACTCTGAAACCTGTCATTATAACACTATCTTATGTTGAGTGTAGTACCTTACTCCACAAGTGATTCCACTGATCGAAGTTTCGCTGTCTTGCTCTCAGGAAACATGCTCTGTAAATTGGGCTGACTGACTGTGTGTTTCCACTTTGTCCCTCTTGTTGTTACAAAGTAAGTTTGTGTGTGTGTATAAAGGTCTGATCAGACATGTGTCCTAAGTGGATTTTTTTCTATCCTTTATTTTGTTCCAGGACTTATTTTTTAAATACACATGGAATAACTTTTTGCACTTCCAAGTGGAACTGTGCATAGCAGCTATTCTCTCGCACTCTGTGCATGAAGGGAAATCAGCAACAAATGACCTGGATAATAAAGAGGAGGTGCTGAATGGGAATGTGACCACAGAGAACTTGAAGACTTCAGACCACAGTCCAGAGAATATTATGGTGACACATGTAAGTCTAGTCATGTCACTTGAGAGCTTTAGGTGGATGGATTCGGCACGGGTCTTGGTTAACAAGAGAGTAGCCTGACAAAGTGCTTAAGAAGAGAGGGTAATGCTTATCAAGATGTCTAGACAGTGTTTTGGTCTTCCAGTTCTGGATGGAAATGTACTTGCCTTTGTACAGATGATTTATTCTTTCAACTATAGAGGAAAAATATCATCCCTCTTAATGAGTTTAGAGATCACTTTTCCTTTTAGTAAAGATGCGCTGACACTTCGGACCAAAAAACCGCAAAACCAATTGTCATGATTCCAGATTCCTGACTCTTTCTGTGCATGTGCTTCTAATGCTGAGACTATTCTGTGCTGTTGTCTTAAAACCATGATAGCTCTCTTCATTATGATTATGATGAACCCTTTAAGGGTAAAGTGAAGAATCTTACAGGAAACACCGTCTCTCCCCTCCTCTAAGAGAAGGGAAATTCTGTGACATAGAGGAAGATTGAACCACTTAAGGAAAACTTGAGAGGATTGCTGGACCTTTTCAGAGTTCTTGTCCAGTTTGTTCCATCCAGATGAATCCATTTAAAATTTGTCTTAAAGTAATTTTAAGTGGTAGAAGGTGTAAAGAGATTAATGAAAGTGATCCCTGATCTGATATAGGCTACTTGGGCCACTGGATTTCCGTTAGCCTCTGAAACGTTCTCACTGTCTCTCGTTCTCTAGCTGTTCCAGAGGTGCTGCCTGTTGCAGAGGATATTGGATGCCTGGGAAGTCAATGACAAAATACAGTAAGGGTGTTTTTGGTTGTATGGAGGGCCCAATTTGAGAGCTGGAAATTTTGGCTAGTGTGTTGAATATTCTTTCAATTATTTGGATAATAGAGAAGTTTGCTAATGTGCTAGAAAATCAGAATGCAGATTGTTCAGATGTTAAAAATCAAATACATACCAGGTAAACACATACTTAGACCCCTATGGACAGGAAGGGGCCTCTCAGTGCTCCAGTCGGCATGCAAAGCACACTTCATTCTTGCTTTCCCAAAGAACACCACATAGCACATTAGCTTGCTTTTTTTAAAAAATAACCTACGTACTGTTCCCCCCACTTTTGGGAGAAGAATGTCTGGGAAACCCTATTTGAGATTAGATTCCTCGTGTAATTTTCTAACTCTGGAAGCCATTCAGGTAATGTGGTGATTGGTATGAAATACGACTCTAAAAATAAAGAAAATAGATTGATGTGAAAGAAAATGATCTGGGCTTCCGTTTCCTTGCTTACCTAAACATTTTGCTGCTATTTATAGCACTTTACAGCTTCAATGTGCTGTAGAGGCAATTTGCTAATTTCTCTTGACAGTCCCCCTGCATGGTAGATAATGCACTGACAACCATAATTGTGTCTGTCGATATTACTTGAATTTTGTTTTATAGATTTAAATGATTGGGGGTGATGAAACTTACTCAGAGTGTCACAGCTAAACACAAGGTAGAACAGATTGTTTAGCCTAAGTAGTTAACACATATTTCAAGGTGAAGTGGCCCATTAACACCTCTTCCTTTCCTCCTTGTGACTTGTCTCTCTCACCAACATAAGCTTGTCCAATAAAAGATATTACCTCACCCACCTTGCCTCTCTGTCATCTCTGTTTGGGCTTTGACTTCTGTCACTCATTGAGATTCAGGAGACACTTGTGGAGCTCTTGATTTAGCTCATAGTTAATGCTCGAATTTTTTAGGCACAACTTCATGTTGTTAAAAGGAACATCCTGATTAGGGGGTTTGTATAAAGCCTGTCACCTTATTATCTAATACTGAATTTTATAGTAACGTCATGAGCAAAACAGGGAAGTTCTGTGGCTGGTGTTATTTATGCAGGTCAATCTGGACGATCAAAGTGGTCCCTTCTGGCTCTAAAATCAATCAGTCTATGAAAACTCCAAAGTATTTATGGGGAATTGAACAGCAAACCATCACAAAATTAACTTTTGATATAGTCCAGTTACTCCAAAATATAAAATGAAAAGTTTTACGTGTCACTAAAGTAATGTATGCTTTTATCATCAACATCTCCTCCAGGAGCTCAAATAAAAGAGGTGGTTTTCTTTTTACAGTATTTTGTCTAGGGTTCAGTAGGGGGTGGCATGGAGACTTCTTTTACATTGTGTTTCTGTGGTGTTTTTAATGTGCTTTGATTTGGACCAGCCTCCACAATATTCAGCAGGGCTGCCTGTGTCAACCTTGCGCACAGTTAGTGCTGCGCAAATAATATTTGCCTCAAACCTGAATATTTGATGAGATACTCTGTAGTGTGAATGAAGTGTTGAAATGAATAATTAGGTTACTTGTGTGAGTTCTGTCCACTCTTTTGATTGTCAGCACCTGCCAGTTTGAGAGCAGATCTGCTAAATTAGATGAGTCGTTCTGGTCTGAGCAGTGTAAGTGCCACCTGCTGACCTGCCATCAAAGCGAATATATTTTGAATCCTGAGTCACTTCAGTCCTTTTCTGAACAGTGTGGATAGGAAGATTGTCTCAGCCATTTCACTCACTGATTGATTTTGAGGTTGACATTTTCCTTGGATAGCATCAGAACAACGAAAATACAGGGGCAATGTGACTTTGTTATTATTTAACTTAATTTTGATTATTTTTCAGAAATTCTCTTTGAGGGAAATATGTCATTATAGTTAGGATCTCTTTTGTTCTCTCTTACCTTCAACTACAATTCCAGTGCTTTTTCAATACAGCCATGATTCGAATATTTCTCTGTTGCTGTGTCTTTGTTTCAGGGAAGTTATGATTAAAAAATTATCTACTTCTGTGCTAGTATCTCATAGCTGCTTTTATAGATGTCTGGTATACCCAGTGCAATAGGAGTTCTCTCTTCCCTATCTGCCTGAGACAATGTGACCTGGCTCCTCTGTTGTGAGACAGTTCATCCCCTTCAGCCTATTCTGTGTTGATGCAGCATCTTTACATCTGCCACACTGGTAGTAATTACTGTTTACACGTGTTAAATTGTGGCAGCAGCCGGTGACTCTTAAGAATTTGCTGGTGAGTGTTTTGTTGAACTGGTACTGACTGTTGCTGTTTTCAGGGCAGAAGGTGGAATGAGGCGAGGGAATATGGGCCACCTTACCCGAATAGCCAATGCTGTGGTACAGAATATGGAGAAGGGCCCCATGCAGACCCAGACCAGTGAATTCATTAAAGGTACATGGTCTAGTCCCTTTTCCATCATGTGTTTTTCTGATTGAATAGCTCTTTCTGAAACACTCTGTTTTGCCTTGTTTTACATGCTGGTAAGATCCCATTTTACAGTTTTAAAAAAAAAGATTTCTGGCTGAATGTTTATATTTGATTCTTATGGAAGCTTTTGGCCACATTCTGCTCTCTCTTACATGCACACTGCCATGTTGAAGTCTGTGGGATTGTGTCTGCATAACTATGTGCAGAGTTTGACTCATTTTGTCCTACAGGGTGCCTTGCTCAACAGGAGATTATACGTTTTTGCAGTACCTTAGATTTACAGGGGAGAACGGGGCCCTGTCCCAGGAAGCTGACACTCTAGTTTAGACATAACATATCAAGAAATGACAATAAATAAAGTGTGGGTGTTGGGGCTTGGAAGGTGTTATGGGGAGAATGTGGTTTCTTTTAGTAAATTATCACTAACACTTGAGTCTCTATTTGAGAGAGATACAGGGGCAGATGATGTTCTTCTGACCCCGCTTGACTTTGGCCTACAGTTTGAAAACCACTGCGTAGCCCACTTAACCCTTTGTTTGTCTAGGAGGAGATAAGGATACCCAGTTAAGTATATTAATGGAAAACACATTGGTGCAGATGGGAGGAATCGTTCACCTTTCTTGGCTTCTTACATGCTTATCAAACACTAATGTTAGCAACTTGAGAGGTTGCATTGTGCAAGAATTTCTAAGTGTTGTCTTGTAGTTCCCTTGGCCATTTAGGGGCTACACTGACTGAAGAATTTGCCTTATTGCTATTCTCTTTAGCTCTCTAACCCGGCTCATTGCATGGGAGAATAGCATGTTAAACACTGAGCGAGGCCCAGAACTGAAGTGGTACATTATAATGCGTGGGCAGAACTAGTAGTTACAGTACATAGTATCCAAGGAATATGAAATGGCATGAGTTAACTTTGCTTTGGAGGTCCTTAGGGCTGGAATTTCTCCATGCTCTGATATCCATCTCAGCCAATGCCCTCTCCGCTCTTTGCACCTCAAATATACCTCTCTTCCTCAGGTGTATACTTCCAGTCTTGGCCCCATATTTTTGTTTTGTCTTCTGTTTGCTTTGTTGGATTCTTTCAGTGCTTTGGGTCATAGGAGTGTTTTTAATCTTTTAAATATCACCATGTGTTTGTTGAACAAGTGCTGAGGGATTAAAAACATGTTATATAAAATATTGCCTCAGGGATTGAGATGCATGTACCCCAGAACACTGTTCCTTACTTGTCTGGGGATCTGAACATTGCCCAGTATATGGGAGAGAGTGGGATCGATACGTTCCATTGACTGGCACTGGTCCTTTGTTCCTTGAGCTATGAGGTAACTATGGTGGTGATCCATTTGTTACAGAGCTACCTGAGGATTGCAGAGGGAGGTGGGAGAGCTTTGTAGAAGAGACGCTGAGAGAGACCAACCGGAAGAATACAGTGGATTTGGTAAGGACAGTGCTAAACCCTTCTGCATATTTCAGATGGGCCTGGTGCTTTCTGGCACCTGTTTTATTTGAAAATTGTTGGTTTTATACAGCCTTTTCTGTGATATTTTCCTTGATCCTACACAGCGGGTATACAGGGGCCGGCGTGGGGAGTTATAGTTAACCTCTTCTCTATAGTGCTGAGTGTGAGGGATTTCTCTCTGACCTAGCTGCAGTATTGCTGTAGCTTGGCAACCTCTCTGATGTGTATTGTGTCTCATGATGTTGCCCTCTGAAGGAAAATAATTCCTACTAGACCGCTTTGGTCTCTGGCTGTGATAGATTCTTAATAGGGCAAGATTATACTGTGACCTCTCTTGGCTTTCCCTAGCATTCATTGTGATCTTTGTTTCAGGTGAGCACCCACCATCTGCATTCTTCCAGTGAGGACGAGGACATCGAGAGCGCCTTCCCCAATGAACTCTCCCTCCAACAGGTGACAGACTCTGTGCTTCGTACTGTTGCCGAGAAGCACACTACGTCTGGCTTCATCTTTAATCCTTCTCACTATGGTGCAGCTTCCTGACTTCTTACCAGGGTCTAAAGCTGCTTGTGTGTCTGTCTAATCTGTTAACAGTAGAGATGTTTTTACAAGAAGAGAAGGACAATTTGGCCAGTATTTGAACCTTCTCACCCTAAAGTTTTTGTGCCATGTGGAAAATGTCACTCGCTCACTGCAGCAGAGGGTAGAGCTGACCATTGGTGAAGACCGCTCTCCTGCTGAGGTGCCCATGGGGAAGACATTTTGTTAGAGGCAGTGTGACCCATTAGATTGAGTGCTCAGTTGGGAGACCTGGATTCTGTTCCCAGCTCTCCCACAGCTCTGTGGTATGATCTCTCTGTGCCTTAGTTTCCACTGCTCTAAAATGGGGATATAGTGATATTTACCTCTTTTATAAAGCTCATTGAGATCTATGGGTTAAAATGGTATTATTTATAAAGGAAAGGGAAGGCAATTGAATAGGTATTCTCTTATAAAACGAGAGAGCCAAGTGAAGGGGGTGAATTTTGCTTTCTTGTGTTTGAAGGCAAATATTTGAAATCTCCTAATGGTTACTGGTAGAGCCAGGTTGGACATCAGCAGGGCTGGATTTAACCCATCATTGGGCCCCAGGCAGGTATACACTATGGGCCCCTACCTACGCTGATGGAGTGTGGCCGGGCCTAATTTGAATGAGCAGTCTTGTGACCTGGTGCATGGGGTCACAGCACCACTCAGGTTTGGCCTGCCTGCACTTCCATAAGTGAGCAGGGCCCTGAGTAGTGGCAGGATGAGCAGCTGGTCCTGGTGGATCTGTAGTATGGCAACCCTGACCACAGTGCTTGTACTGCATGGCGGGCCCTGGACTCCCCCTCCAATGAATTTTGGCCCGAGGTGCCTAGTTTTCCTGTGTAAGCACTCTCTGAGGGCTGCTGAAGGATGTATTTGCATAGTGATTGTTAGGTGAGAGTAGAATGGAAGAAGTGTCTCCATGACTCATGGAGACAGTAGAGGTGCAGTTTAGGAAAGGGCAGGACAGATTAGATCCAACAAAGACATTTTAGGTAGTTCAGATTTAGCTAGCCATATAAAACCAGATGCGGGAATCCAAGGGACACCCTTAACCTGAAATCTAGTGAGGTTAAAAAAATGAGTGTCAGATTACTTACCCCTTCACCTGAGTCCCCCAGCTAACTTCTGTGGTTTTGCAGATACACCCCCCGACCTCCAAATGTGTTTGTTTCCCTAGTTGCTATATTAAAACCCCCCATAAAAACAAGGGAAATTAACTGACTTCTCTCTACAAGGGAAATGGGAAATGGGAAATTCCCCCTTGCACTGGCGGGATGGGAGTTTCAACAGCAGTGCTAACAGGAGGACTTCAGTATATTGACCGTCAGAAAACAGGTGTTTGCTGGCTACTGCAGCAAAGTCCTAACAAACAATAGTGGTGGAAATACCTAGTTTGGAAAATTGAACTACTACTATTATATAGTTCAGTTTATTATAGTAGTGGCTAAGGGCCAACCAAGAATGGGGCCCCATTGTGCTAGGCGCTATACAAACTCAGAGGAGTAGACCGTAGGTGGGATGGGCTTGATTAGCAGCATCTTCTTATAATGTTTATTTTAAACTCTTTGAATTGCCTTATAACCGGTCTCTGGTTGCATCCCTCAGGCATTCTCAGAGTACCAAATCCAACAGATGACAGCCAACTTTGTGGATCAGTTTGGCTTCAATGACGAAGAGTTTGCAGACCAGGATGACAATATCAAGTGAGTTCATTTTTCCAGTTTTGTCATGTCTACAGTTGAAGATTGGCAGTCAGATGAAGTCCCCGAGGAAATCTTCATCTTCCTCACTTACAAGGAAGCATGCAAGTGTTAAGGCAATTCCAAAAACCATTAAGAAGGGAGAGGTGGATGGATTTCATGTTACAGAATCTTAGGGTACGTCTACACTGCAAAAAAACAAAACAAAACAAAACAAAAAAATCCAACCCTCGGTGGTGAATCTCAGAACCCGGGCTTGTGCTTGCAGCCTCAATCTACAAGGCTAAAAGTAGTGGCATAGATGTTCCCGCTTGGGCTCCAAGTGGCTGGGGTCTCAGAGCCCAAGCCTGAATGTCGACATGGCAATTTTATAGCCCTGCGAGGCCAAGTCTGCTGACACAGCCGCAGGTGTTTTATTGCAGTGTAAACAAACCCCCACAGCATGAGTCCACTGCAAATCAATAGAGCTTGAATGCTGGGTCCTGACTTAAGTCAGGCTTGGCTCCTCTACCCTGTGGGGTCCTGCGACCCTGGGTCTGAGCCCTCGGTTAGTATGAGTTGTTTGTAGCTAGAAGGGGGAGGAGGATAGGCTCTCACAGAATATATCAGGGTTGGAAGGGACCTCAGGAGGTCTAGACCAACCACCTGCTCAAAGCAGGACCAATCCCCAACTAAATCATCCCAGCCAGGGCTTTGTCAAGCCTGACCTTAAAAACCTCAAAGGAAGGAGATTCCATCACCTCCCTAGGTAATGCATTCCAGTGCTTCACTACCCTCCTAGTGAAAAAGTTTTTTCTAATATCCAGTTAGGCTATGCCTGAGTTCGAACCCTGGGCTTACATTGCACTGTAGACATTCCCTAAGCGATAATGACTCTGCAGCTGTTATGTAAGAGATGCTAATCTCATTAAAAACACCTCCTCATCCCCGTCTCCTGAGATTATCACCCTTATAGGTTTCTGTCATTAAAAACAAATTACTTGCCCCATAACCTCAGCCGTGCAGAACACAATGCCATCCACAGCCTCAGAAACAACTCTGACATCATAATCAAAAAGGCTGACAAAGGAGGTGCTGTTGTCATCATGAATAGGTCGGAATGTGAACAAGAGGCTGCTCGGCAGCTCTCCAACACCACTTTCTACAAGCCATTACCCTCTCAGTACCCCACTGAGAGTTACCAAAAGCAACTACAGCATTTGCTCAAGAAACTTCCTGAAAAAGCACAAGATCAAATCCGCACAGACACACCCCTGGAACCCCGACCTGGGATATTCTATCTATTACCCAAGATCCATAAACCTGGAAATCCTGGGCGCCCCATCATCTCAGGCATTGGCACCCTGACAGCAGGATTGTCTGGCTATGTAGACTCCCTCCTCAGGCCCTACGCTACCAGCACTCCCAGCTACCTTCGAGACACCACTGACTTCCTGAGGAAACTACAATCCATCGGTGATCTTCCTGATAACACCATCTTGGCCACTATGGATGTAGAAGCCCTCTACACCAACATTCCACACAAAGATGGACTACCAGCCGTCAAGAACACTATTCCCGATAATGTCACGGCTAACCTGGTGGCTGAACTTTGTGACTTTGTCCTTACCCATAACTATTTTACATTTGGGGACAATGTATACCTTCAGATCAGCGGCACTGCTATGGGTACCCGCATGGCCCCACTGCATGCCAACATTTTTATGGCTGACTTAGAACAACGCTTCCTCAGCTCTCGTCCCCTAAAGCCCCTACTCTACTTGCGTTATATTGATGACATCTTCATCATCTGGACCCACGGAAAAGAAGCCCTTGAGGAATTCCACCATGATTTCAACAATTTCCATCCCACCACCAACCTCAGCCTGGTCCAGTCCACACAAGAGATCCACTTCCTGGACACTACAGTGCTCATAAACAATGGTCACATAAACACCACCCTATACCGGAAACCTACTGACCGCTATTCCTACCTACATGCCTCCAGCTTTCACCCTGACCACACCACACGATCCATCGTCTACAGCCAAGCTCTGCGATACAACCGCATTTGCTCCAACCCCTCAGACAGAGACAAACGCCTACAAGATCTCTATCAAGCATTCTTACAACTACAATACCCACCTGCGGAAGTGAAGAAACAGATTGATAGAGCCAGAAGAGTTCCCAGAAGTCACCTACTACAGGACAGGCCTAACAAAGAAAATAATAGAACGCCACTAGCCGTCACCTTCAGCCCCCAACTAAAACCCCTCCAACGCATGATTAAGGATCTACAACCTATCCTGAAGGATGACCCAACACTCTCACAAATCTTGGGAGACAGGCCAGTCCTTGCCTACAGACAGCCCCCCAACCTGAAGCAAATACTCACCAACAACCACATACCACACAACAGAACCACTAACCCAGGAACCTATCCTTGCAACAAAGCCCGTTGCCAACTGTGCCCACATATCTATTCAGGGGACACCATCAAAAGGGCTTAATAACATCAGCCACACTATCAGAGGCTCGTTCACCTGCACATCCACCAATGTGATATATGCCATCATGTGCCAGCAATGCCCCTCTGCCATTTACATTGGTCAAACTGGACAATCTCTACGTAAAAGAATAAATGGACACAAATCAGATGTCAAGAATTATAACTTTCATAAACCAGTTGGAGAACACTTCAGTCTCTCTGGTCATGCAATCACAGACATGAAGGTCGCTATCTTACAACAAAAAAACTTCAAATCCAGACTCCAGCGAGAAACTGCAGAATTGGAATTCATTTGCAAATTGAATACTATTAATTTAGGCTTAAATAGAGACTGGGAGTGGCTAAGTCATTATGCATTATTTCCCCTTGTTCCCCCCCCCCCCCCGACGTTCTGGTTAAACCTTGATTATCATGCACATTGTAAGGAGAGTGGTCAGTTTGGATGAGCTATTGCCAGCAGGAGAGTGAGTTTGTGTGTATGGGGGGGGGGGTGAGAAAACCTGGATTTGTGCTGGAAATGGCCCACCTTGATTATCATGCATATTGTAGGGAGAGTGGTCACTTTGGATGAGCTATTACCAGCAGGAGACTGAGTTTGTGTGTGTATGGGGGTAGGGGGGTGAGAAAACCTGGATTTGTGCTGGAAATGGCCCACCTTGATTATCATGCACATTGTAGGGAGAGTGGTCGCTTTGGATGAGCTGTTACCAGCAGGAGAGTGAGTTTGGGGGGGCGGAGGGTGAGAAAACCTGGATTTGTGCTGGAAATGGCCCAACTTGATGATCACTTTAGATAAGCTATTACCAGCAGGAGCGTAGGGTGGGAGGAGGTATTGTTTCATGGTCTCTGTGTATATATAATGTCTTCTGCAGTTTCCACAGTATGCATCCGATGGAGTGAGCTGTAGCTCGCGAAAGCTCATGCTCAAATAAATTGGTTAGTCTCTAAGGTGCCACAAGTACTCCTTTTCTTTTTGCGAATACAGACTAACACGGCTGTTACTCTGAAACCTATCTTATAACTGTATTTCATATAGTGTTAAAAAGTTAGAGATCTCCTTCCATTTTGTGAGACTTAATTTCAAATAGAAAAATGCTAGAGGCTGATGGCCTTAGTGACCTGGTGATCAGTGGAAAGGGGCAGTTTTTAGCCTGGAAAGCTCTATGGTAGCACAATGATTCTGAGTCTTTTGCTGCTCCTGATGAATCTGAGTTATTCGGAAGTTCATTGTTTGTTCTCTTCATAGCAGAGCTTAAGTCACTACCAGGTCCTGAGTAAAATAACTCTTTTCAAATTGCCATTTCATTTTGTATGCCAGCTTCAGATGAGTTTGTGCCATCTTTATAGTCACCCTCAAGAAAGTACCAACCAGTATGTCCTGAAAGCTGTCAATACCATCTAGCTCGGAAGGTCTCAGCATCCTCAAAGTTCTAGGGTCTCCATTAGAATGATATTCAAATAAATGGAAGCTACTTTTCAGTGTGAAGGGAGAATCTTAGATATTCTCTAGCCTTTTTCTTGAGCATTGTGGTCATAAGGACCGTTAATAGGGTCAAGAAGTTCCAATCCAGCATGCAATTGACTGATTATGGGGTAATCTGATTGTTTTTCCCATTTTTGTAATAAAAATAGAAATTAAATCAGTTATTGGGGAAAAAGCAGCATAAGTTCTATTGGGAGTCATGTAGAGACCGTTAATGTAAAACTGAAGCTGATGGAGAAATGTAGCTGGAACATACTATCCATTCCCATGAGGATGAATAAGAAGGGGGAGAGAATAAAACAAAAACTGTTCCAGTGTAGGATATTTGTTGGTGAAACCTATGAAAGAAGTGACTTAAGATATAATTAAAAATGACCCCTTTTTTAGTGGGATGGTCATTTGAATATTTTTTAATATTTTACAACAGATGCACTAACTTAATAGCTTTAATTGATAACATTTGAGACATAAATAACACTGCCCAGATTTAGGCATGTGTAGATACAGAGTAAAATCCCCCTCTTCAATCAGCTGCACTCCTGCTCTGTGGAACCCTCTCTGGTTCTAGTAATGGTCTCTCTTAACCTAACTGCCAGTGTGAGCTGTTTGATGGTTTTTGTGATTTGCATCATTATCCACTAAGGACTTAGAGCTGCTACATAAGTGATCAGTGAGGACGGAACATGATTATATGAGATGCTCTTAGAGGTTTGTGATCAGCTGGAATTGGCTTTATCTTTGGGAGCTTTGTCTCTGACTCAGTTGAAGGAACTGACTGAAATGTTTGCAGGCAGCATTTATGCTCTGCAGGAGTTTGCATGTGACAGCCAGTAGGGGCTTGGTTTGTTCTCTGTCCTGCTACATTGCTCTATACGGTCAAAATACTTTATGAGCTAGGATAGTCCCACTGCTAAGGAGCGGAACAAGATCTACAAGTGATACCTGCAAAGAAGCAGAAATACAAGTTTACGTTATTTTTCCCTCAAGGACTAGAGTAAAGAAATCATTGGGTTGGAATAATACAGCAGTGAGTGTGCAGAGAACAGCAGAGAAGTTGGGTTGCAAAGTCTTTCTATGTTTAGTTGTCTTTGTACCTGTTGCTCCAAGCCCTTATGCAGATTTCTCTTTGCAGTGCACCTTTTGACCGGATTGCAGAGATTAACTTCAACATAGATGCGGATGATGACAGTGTAAGTGGGGTTTTTGGATATTTATTGAACAGGACTGACTCCAGCAGGTCAGACCATGCTTGAATCAGATGCAGCCATTTGCATCTTGGAGAAAAGGGGTGCTGTATTTTATTTATGTAGTAAAGAAAAAGATGCCCCAGTGCCTATCTCCAAGCAAGGGAATCAGGGCACTGAAATCACCTTACTATACAATTCTGTTGCTCTTTCAGTCTGCTGTTGCATCGTCTAGCTCTAAGACTCCATTACAGGAGTGGCCACTGGAGCTGGACGGTGTGCTTCTGTCTTCGCTAGCAAATGCCCTATGAACCTGCTGTAGCCCGTTGTCTCTCCCTGCCACCCTTTTCATCTGTTGAATAGGATTAGAAGTTGGTGAATAAAAATATTAGAAAATTGGTTCGTTACGAATCTGAGTATTGCCACCCCATCCTTTGCCCCTCCACCATACTTTCCTGAGTCAGCACCTGTTGTGGAGCAAGTGAAGAGTCCCCTACACATCTGTTTCCTGACAAAAACCTGTTCCATTCAGAACTGAGAGCATTCGATTTCCTTGGTCTTAAAACGGCTTCTTTTAACAACTTCCCTTACACTGCTCAGGGAAAAATTAGTTCCTTCTCCCCTTTTCTCTCTTCACATCACAGGCAGCATTTCTGAGATGCAAAAATTCATTGTGTTTTGCTTGAAACTGCTAACTAAAACCTGCAACCCCAGGTAGCATTTAATATGCTTAGCTGTGTTTTCCTAACTAGAGAGGGGGTTTTTTGGTAGTGACATTTCACTACAGCTCTTGTTTGTAACAGTACGTCATCTCATAATTGACACATACTTAGAACCTTTTATCCAAAGATCCCAAAGCACTCAATGAACTTGGCAAACTGATCACAAATTGTATATGTTCAGAAATATGTGACTTCACCAGTCACTGAAATGCAGCCACTGCTGGGGTGGAAAGTGCTATGTGTTGGACAGAGCAAGAGTTCAGGAATAGCACACCAGTTAGCATTACAGGGTGTTTTAAGCAGGAAGAATGTAATTACTCCATTGAAATTTAGCCTGAACGCCGAGATTATGCTGTGGAAAGTTCATTTGTCTTTGTGGAGTGGACTGTATTCATGACATCGTCTCCCTCTTCTCAAAATTCCAAACTGGAAAATTTGTGAGTGAATGCTTTACTTTTTCTGAAATATCTCTGAGGCAACCCCCCATGGCAGAGAAGCCTCCCTACCACAGTGGGTGAAGTGGAGAGATTTGTATGACAGGATGACTATGAAGCAGCAAGCAGGGATACCTTTTATTTCAGACGCAAGCCAGGCTGTGACAGCCTTATTTCTTATTTGGTCTCTTCTGGGCTTCCTGCCTCCAGGCTTACCAAACCTCTTTCTGACTCTTGGCCCTTCCACTTCTGTATATTGCCTGTTCCTTATCCTGGGTGAAAGTACAGTGAAAAGTGTACATATACCGTCAGGGGGTTAGATGTACATAGACACTGTGCTTTGTGAACTCTGCTCTGCATCACCAGTCTAGTTGCTTCCTCCCCCAGAAATCCACAGAACCTGATTTCTGTTGAAATTTGTTTTAGCCAAACGCATCCCTCTTTGAGGCCTGCTGCAATGAACGGATACAACAGTTTGATGATAAAGAGGAGGAGGAAGATATCTGGGAGGAGAAGGAAATAACCTATGCAACCCAAGTCAAATCAAGAACACGGTAAGGTGAAAGCAAAAGGTCTGTCTTTTTTCTCTGAATACTGTCAGGTTGTATATTCCAGTTCATTATTCCTTATAAATATGTGCTTTGGAGCCTGTTGCTTGTATAAAACAGAATGGTTTTATATGAGCTGCTCCTACAAAGAGATAATTGCTTGTCTTAAACTTAGAGCAAGACACCTGTCATGTACAAATGAGGCCAGGCTTGAGGGCATGTAACAATGGGGGGAACACTAGGATACACAACCAGTTGTGGAGGAGAGAATCTGCCTTTATTTGAAGAATTTTTTAGAAGCCATTCCTTTTCTCACCTCCCGGAAATTGAGTGTAAAGCCCATGTCTTGTTCCAGAGGATGCGGTAGAGAGAACAATGATTGGTTTGTTTAATAAGGGAGAAGATACAGGGTTCTTTTAAAAATTGTGAAGACAAGAAAAATTTGGTTTTGGTCAGAATTTAGCGCCCTTACATGTTGTATAGCTGGTACTGTAATGAATTTGCAATCCACCTCTTAGATTTATTAATTATTTAATAATAAATTCTTCTATAATAGCAGTTTTAAAAGATGTGGATAAATTGGACAGCAGAAACAACCAAGAGGCCGAAATTGAATTGGAATGGGTTCCCTAGGGAGGTGGTGGAATCTCCTTCCTTTGAGGTTTTTAAGGTCAGGCTTGACAAAGCCCTGGCTGGGATGATTTAGTTGGGGTTTGGTCCTGCTTTGAGCAGAGGGTTGGACTAGATGACCTCCTGAGGTCCCTTCCAACCCTGATATTCTATGAACTGTGTGAAATGTATTAATATTCTCAGTCCAGTTGCTAATGGACAATTATCTGCATCACACAAGCCACCAGGTCAGGTGGCACTAACTTGCCTGCTGTTCTCGTTCTGAATCTCGATTGAGATTGAACTCACTTCCCTGGCCTAGAAATGATTCTCTAGGACAGGCATTAGGTACTGTGGAGGGGTTGTGTGGGGAAGCTTGCCATGCTGCTGCCTATGTGTTATATTTTGGAAATAAATACCGTAGAGGACTTCAGTCTCCAGGGCAGTCAGTTCCAGCACCTTTATCATCTGCGAATTAATAAATCCTAACAGGATGGGTGTGATCATTCTCGGTGCCAGTGAGAATCAGCCCTTCAGTTAAAATCAGTGGTGCACACTGTAACACCAGCTAGTTTGATAACTTAACTTTCTTGGATGTAGAAGGGGACAACTTCCAAATCGAATCTTTTTGTTTTTATTAAAGATCATTTGTAATGTCAATTTTATTGATCCTTTGCTGACTTGTTCTGATGCTTCTTTCTTGTTGTTCTGGACTGGTCACTCATCCCACCTTTTCAATCATTGCAGTATGGAAAATGTAACTGAGTAGAAACTGTGTTTTAGTCAGTTTCCATTTGAGGTGTGTAAAAGGGGAAAGATTTGTTTACTATCCTGTGTAATTTTTGTTTATAAATAACAAATACACTCCCTCCTGTCCAACTCTCATTTTCCCCAAAATCTAAGTGAAGAAAGTAGTCTTATGCCACCGAAGATGGACCTATATTAATTGAATTAGGCCTTCTGTCTCCTTTTTGTATACAAGATTGAATGAAAGATCAGAAATATGTAGCTGCTGCAAGTAGGAATGAAAATTGTGGGTGCAATAAAGTCATAATTCACATTTGATTGGAAATGTAAGTCAGACTTTTAGTGATCACATGAAAATTGATTTTTCTATTCAGACTCTATTGTCTTGAAAATGCTTGTGTGTCTAAATTAGAATATGGAAGATAGTTTGCATTCATAGTGTTTTATATCCTCAGGGTGCAATGCACACATTAGCAAATTTAGTCCTCCTACCCACCTCCATTTTACAAGTGTGGAAACTATGAAAGAGTAATTTAGTGACTTCTGTTGTAATTAAAAAGAAATCTATGAACCATACTGTACAATGTATGCCGTGATCTCCATGAAAAATCTGCCCTCCCTTGCATTCTGTATTCTTCCTCTTTCCTTCCCACCCACTTCTGTACTTCGGTCTCTTGCCTTGTTTGTTATGTTTAGTTTAGAGTGAATGCTCCTTAGGGAAAGACTGTCTTTCGATATGCTTGTAAAGTGCTGTGCACACCTGTGATACTATTGTGAATAATAATTAACTTATGAAAAATGATTCAGAATTGTTTGTAAATTTTACTTAGAGATGGCTCAGGGAGAATTTCTGAAGGGTGTAGTAAATACAGCAGGGATTCTGTAGGGGTTTACGGGAATATAAATGGGAAATTATGGGAAGAAACTACAAAACAGAAAATTTAGGCTGAATGTTAGGCCGAAATTCCTGAAGAACATTTATTAAACTGAGGAATATCTCCTGTAGGAAGCCCTGTCATTTAGGATATCAAAAACTACATTGATCAAAGCATTAAAAGACACACATTAAGGAAGCATCCGCACTGCCCCTTTCTTCCCCCTCCTGATTGGACTAGCAAGTAGGCGGTGGACTACATGGCCTAATAGGTCTTTCTAACTCTGATTTCTACGATTCAGGTTTGGAGTATCTCAGACCTCAGAAAGTTCCTCAAAAAGTGATCTAGAGAATGGGGATCATGATGGCAGTGTGGACTCAGAAGAAGAGGAGGAACCAGAAGAACAAACAACACCTCTCACTGAGAACACCAACAAGAATAATCCTTCTGAGCAGAAAGACTCTGACTCTACTGAAGGTAAAAAGTTCAACATAGCATCTTAATTAAGTCTCCAGAAACATGTCTCAGGCAGCCTTTCCTGGAGGTCTACCACTTGGGTATATGTATAGCCACCTGCAAGCCACATGACTACTGAGGCTACTCAGTAGTGTAGCATCAGCAGCTGGGAAGTAAAATGCCCATTGTGAATTTGCATCTGCGTATTCCTGCCTTAAAAATGTTGGAGGGATTGGATCCTGCAGATGCAGAGAGCTAGAGCTGCAAGATTGCAGTGTGCCGTTCAGTTATGCTCTTGGACCAAGCAGGGTGTAATTACTATAACAGTATCAATTTTTATTACAAATCAACAAAGAAGATATTAAGTGAGAGGACTAAAGGCGCTGTTATTTTTTTCAAGCGGTGTTGCTACAGAAGAACTGATAGCATTGTGCAAGTCTACTCCTTTAAAAAACAAACACTTTCTACTGCCATTACCTACTGTGAGTGTTACAAAAACACAGATATTTTTCAGGCCATCATCTGAGGGACATTGACATCCAGGCCAATTAAATTAAGAATATTTATACAACAGGCACTTTCTGTGGACAGTGTAATTGGTGCAATTGTCTTTGTCTAGAAACTAAGTTCAGATATTAGTACAATTTATGAGTGAATATCGGTTTGGTGAATCGCCTCCTAATTTATGTGTGCTTCTCAACCACTGATGTATTTGACACAATACACATTGTATTAAGAGAGGTACTGCATTGCATGTCAGGAAGCAAATCACTGTTAGAACTGTGTGTCTGAAACTGAGGAGCTAGAAGGATGTTCTAGTAGATAAGGCAGTGGACTGGGACTCAGGAGATTTGGATTTAATCCCTGGCTCTGTTGTTTGACCACCTGTGTGACCTTGGAAAATCTACCCTGTACATCAGTTCCCCCCTGTAAAAATGGGGATAATAGCACTTCCCTACTTCATAACGACATTGAGAGGATGAAATCCGTTAATGATTGACACATTCAGATAGTATAGTGATGAGGGCCATATAAGTACTGTGACAGGGTCAGGCCAGATGGCTACAAAAGAGTGGTTGAAGGTAGATACATTAGTTCCAGGTTAAGCAGGTCCCTTTTCCCTGGGTAAAATAACAGGGACTATTCCAGAACACTCAGGCACTTTCTAGAACTAATTAAGGCAGGCAGGCTAATTAGGACACCTGTAGCGAATTGGAAAGCTGCTATAATTAATTAAGGCGAATCAGGACACCTAGTTTGAAAAGGCCCTCACTCTAGTTAGTGAGGTGCGCGCAAGGAGCTGAGAGTGAGAGGGCATGCTCCTGGAGGACTGAGGAGTACAAACGCTATCTGGCATCAGGAGGAAGGTCCTGTGGTGAGGATACAGAAGGTATTGGGAGATGGCCATGGGGAAGTAGCTCAGGGAGTTGTAGCTGTCACACAAGTGTTACACAAAACACTATAGACAGCTGTGATCCACAGGGCCTTGAGCTGGAAACTGCAGTAGAGGGTGGGCCCGGGTTCCCCCCATCCCCCAACTCCCTATTGGATACAGGAGGAGTTGACTTGGACTGTGGGTCCCACCAGAGGGGAAGGTCCCTGGCCTGTCCCCCGACCCTTTAGGTGGACCAGCAGAGACTGTGGGGATTGTTCTCCTTCCTTTTCCCCAGGCTGACCAGTGATGAGGTTAGCTGAGTGAATGGCAGATTTGAGCCACGAAAGTGGCCAAACTGAGGGCTACTGTGAATCTCTGAGGTGAGCAAAATCCTCCAATAAGCGCAGGACCCACCAAGGTAGAGGAGGAACTTTGTCACAGTACCTAGATAGATAGAAAGGTGCCCAGATCTTGCCTGCAGCACACTGTGTGCCTGCAGCTAGTGCATTGCAGTTAAAGAATTTTTAAGGCCATCTTTCTTAATAAGTGCTCCCCTATTGTGGGGTTACAATATTTGTCAGAGAAACCAATTTTCAGATAATCAATAAATGGCCTGATTTCTTTCAACAACATGAGACTCACCTACAGTCCTCCTATAGATTCCCACAAGGATTCCCACTGCACAATCTTTGTTTTTCCCTCTGAGAATTCCTTCCCCCCCCCGCCCCTTTGACTTTTTTTGTGAAGGCATAAGGTTGTACAAAATCTTAGCAACTTCTGTTTGTCTTTGTACTTTCAGGATCTGGGTGGACAGCTGTGTTTGAGCCAGTGAATTCAAAACCCCCAGCACCCTGTGTGGCCATGGATGTTGGATCAAGTGTATGGGATTCAGCAGCACCAGAGACCGCCACTCCTGAGGAGAAAGGATGGGCAAAATTTACAGACTTTCAACCTTTTTGTTGGTAAATGAAGCATAAATGCCAATAACATCTCCACAAATTCTGTGTGAAAGAATGTTTGGAGTGTGGTTGTATGGAATAACTGGCTAGGGGTCTGCACTGTAATCTTTCTTTTCTTTTCTCTAAATATTGTCTGTGTGGATCTGGATCAATACTCACACCTCTGTTTTTGCACTGATTGAAATCAGTGGTATCCATATCTCATACTATGATACTGTATATATTGTCACTGTTGCAAGGCTCTGACTATACTGTAAGTTATTAGGGTTGCTTGTAATAACTTCTTTTTTAGGAGTTATTTCTAAGTATCCTATATCAGGACCAGAGCAGCTGTGGTTCATTCTCAGGTCTTTTCTTTTTAGCTCAGAATCAGGTCCCAGATGTAGTTCTCCTGTTGATACAGAAAGCAGTGACTCAGAGGGAAACCCCAAGCAGGGTCAGGACAAGAACTGTAAGTGGCAATAATATTATGAAATGTGAAGGGATTCATTTGCATCTGTAATCATTTTGAGTATTGCCTAACATCCCAGGTTTGTGGGGCAAAGTTCCTGTCCAGTGCTTCCTCACAGATGTTATTTGATAGATCCACTTAGACATATTAGAGCTCCTGAATGTGGGTTCAGCCCCCCTAACGAAACAGTAAGTGCTGCTACTTTGCATGGGTTTACACGTTCCTCAGTAATGAAGTAAAAAGAACAGGAGGACTTGTGGCAACTTAGAGACTAACAAATTTATTTGAGCATAAGCTTTCGTGAGCTACAGCTCACTTCATCGGATGCATTCAGTGGAAAATACAGTGGGGAGATTTATATACACAGAGAACATGAAACAATGGGCGTTACCATACACACTGTAACGAGAGTGATCAGGTTCCACTGAATGCATCCGATGAGGTGAGCTGTAGCTCACGAAAGCTTATGCTGAAATAAATTTGTTAGTCTCTAAGTTGCCACAAGTCCTCCTTTTCTTTTTGCGGATACAGGCTAACACGGCTGCTACTCTGAAACCAGTAATGAAGTAGTAACTTGTATGTTTATAGGACACGGTTAAATTGCGGAGGCCCCACATTTACACCTTGTAAGCACTGTGCTGTAGTAGCAAATTCCTTCCTGTTTCTTTCCAAGTGTTCCTTTATACAATCAGTTACTAAAAATTGTAATACCACAAAAAGTGATCTTTGGAATCTGGATTCCAGTAGAAGTCAGAGGATGAAAGTAGTGACAGAAGGGACCAGAAAGTACTGGATAGCTAGTGAGATTTTTCTGTCTAATTTCTTGACCCCCCCAAAAAACGGGGTGCGGGGGCAGGGGGAATAAGCGTTTAAACCTCTGAATTTTTTATAGTTCACTCAATGCTAGTTTAGAGCTTGATTCTCCTGTTAACCTAGAAGATTCCCTCTGGTGCTTTGGTTTTCAAGTCCTCAAACTGATCTTACTGGTATCAGACAAACAAACCTCAAGACATTAATAAACACCAGAACATCAAATCAAGAAACTCCTGGTTGCATTTTCACCCATCTTAGATCAAAATACAGTTTTACGAATCAGTAGTAGAGACACAAATTTGCCCCAATCTTGTCACAGTTCAGAACATTAAGATTATTGGAGGTACCTATGAAAATCAGGGTAGATTCCCAGTGCAGCTTATTTCCACACATGCTTCTAACTGTGTGGCAGCACAGTCTTTCTAACCCTCCGATGACAGGTCTCTTTTTTGAGCATGGGTCAGTGTGGAGCCCATTGTGGGTGTACATGCGCATGAGACTGGATTCTTTTGAATAGCAGTGTTAGTCAGGGCCATGCTCGCACCCTATGCTCCTCATGTTCCCATGAGAGGGCATAAAGGGTGGAGTGGCTGCAAACCTCCCTTAGTTCCCCCTTACCACCTGTGCAATGAAACCCAGCAAGTGCCTGACTGGTACTCTGTTCAGTTCTTTCAACCCAGTTAGTGAAAAGTTCTGTCTTCACACCTGTTTTCTCTGAAAGATGTTGCTTTAAAAAAAAAAAATTGATAAGACAACTTCCCTGTACAGTGGGACGACAAGGCACTTTGTGCCAAGCTCCATGTCTCACGGTGAAGTCCAAGCCCTCAGGGTTCAAACCCTGCCTTCCTGCAATGGACTGGTCTCCATCAAGGATGGACACAGCTGATACCATTTCTAACTAGGAGATTGCCACATCCTGGATAAGTGCTCTTTGTGTGAGTCCTTTTCTGCCAGGACCCACAAGTCCAGGGACACATGGCTGAAGCGGCATCTATTTGAGCAATCTGTGCAGGTCACTTTGGACCTAGAGGTAAATGGTTACAACCAGAGCGAGGCTGGATAAACCAGTCTCGGACACTGTCAGACACTCTTCACGTTCCGAGATAGGGTGGTGGGAAGAGAGTGAAAAGGATACCAGCAGAATCTACGCCTCTGATGCTGACCACCTCCTCATCAGTGAAATCTCCAGTGTGTAAGAGCTCAGTGTTGACAGCCGTGGTGCCGAGCATCTCTGCATCAGTAGTTCAGGTACTTACAATTCCGGCTCCTCTATTGACTGCCCCAATTCAGGTAGAAAAACTGGCACCTGTGCCTGCTCAAAATGGGACAAAGGCCAAGGGAGGCTTCTGGAGGGAAGATATGGGACACCACTCCAAGAGCAAAGCCCCTAAGCAGATTGGCAGAGCAGGAGGCCTGGCCTGGATGCCAGTACTAATCCCCATGACGGAGTTGAGCAAGGACTTCATATGTCCATATCACCCTCGGAGATGTTCCTCATACCAAAGAGGTGGCTGGTAAGCATGCCATCCCTTAGCAATACCTTTCAATTAAGAGAGAGATTCCTCCTTACCATTGTTCCTTCTCACCAGCATTGAGCAGAGATTCCTCTCCCCGTCATTGGAGAATGGCCATAAGGAGGGTATTAACGCGCTCCCATTCAGAGTGCTGCCCCAACTGGCATGGGAGTGGTGCTTGGCCAGCCAGCCCCAGCTTGGTCCATACTCATACAATGGGCCACTTTGGCCATATTAGTCTGACTGGGGGCTGTCCTTCCACATGCTGAGGAGCAGCAGCTCTCCTTCCTACATTCTAGAAAAAGATGATCATGTTTCTCAACAGCTTTTCTGTCTGGGCCACCACAGGAACAGGAAACGATAAAGGGACAACAACAATCTCCATATCCCACCAAAGAATCCTCCTCATTGCTGGATGAGGCAGTAACACCAGCAATAGATGACTTTAAAGCCTTCCAAGACCTCCTGCCCTGAACTGTGGAGATCCTGGACATAAGGCTATGTTTCTACAGGAAGTCTCATAAACTCTTTGGTATCCTGGGTGTCACTGTGATGACACCGGCCAGAATTACTCTCCCTAGTAATGAAGGTATCCTACAACCAGCCAAAAGGCTCTGGCAGATCCCAGCTATTCTTCTTCCCACCTCAAAGAAAAGGGATCAGGTGCCACCAGAAGGTTTTGAATACTTTTATTCCTGCCCAAACACAGGGTTCTTGGTCTTCTCTGCAGCTCAAGAGAAATCCACAGTCCATGAAAGGCCCTTCTAAAGACTATAAGAAGTTAGACCTGCTTGGGCAAAGGTACAAGGTACTGCCATTTGGACTGTCAGTGGTGCTGAGAGTCTTGCCAAATGCCTACTGGTGGTAGCAACACATATCAAAAGAATATGGGCATTCATGTCTTTCCCTGGTTGGACAATTGGCTGACTGGGTCATAACCCAGCAGGAGGCTGCCATGCACCTAAAAGTTCGTCCCCTCTGTTCCCTCAGCTGAGCCTGCTAGTAAACTCCAAAAAAAATCATTTCTTATCCCATCACAGATGATTGAGTTTGAGGAGTCCTGGTCAGTTCTGGTTCAACGAGAGCATACTTACCTAGAGGCAGGTTTCTGTGCTGCAACTGCTGGTGTGTGTGGGATAGAATCAAACCTGACAACGGTATAGATATGTCTGCGGCTGGTAGGCCATGGGTCATTGTGCAAGTATGTGACACTACTTGCCAAACTTCACCTGAAATCACTCCATTCTAGCTCAGGTCAGTCTATCCCCCAGCAAAGTACCAGATGAACAAGAAGGTGGTGATCCCACCGCACTCTGTCACAGACCTGAGCTGGTGGAGGGAACTCAGAACTGTGCTGTTCTCCACCTCCTCCCCAACAAAAACTTTAATTATAGATGTGACAGGTACAGACTGATGAGCCTGAACCACCTACTAATACAAGGGACTTACTCCCCAGAGGACACCAGATCCACCAGGCCTTCCTACCTGTTCTTCAGAACTCCACAGTGCAGATCCTGATGGTCTACACAAACAGATAAAGAGGTGCATGCTCATCTCTCCTCTGTCTGGATGCTGTCAGACTCTGGACATGGTGCCACCAGCATGGGATAAACGAGATGGCTCTTTGTGACACAAAGACCTCTCACTTAAGACCTGACAAACTCATTACACCAAACACGTCTGACAGGTCTTTTATTCATAAAGAGTAACATGTAATGTACCTACAGAAAGCTTGTAAATTGTCAAGATTCATAATCAATGTGAGTTGTACATACAGAAAATATTTAAGGAATAATATATTTATATTGAAAGTGAGCTTTATGGACTTGGAGTAGAAATTAGTCACCAGGAGTTAATGTGTCTCAGTGGTGGCCCATTCGGGCAAGGGGGAGTTTGGCTGATGAGGTAATGTAAGGCTCAGTTGTTTAGCCTGGCACAATACTAACGGGAAACCACCAGAGGCAACGACAAACTATCGAAGTCACTTAAAGATAGAAAAGAAACTTTACAACAAGATAGGGGTTTTACCCGTCTGTGAATGGAAACAGACGACTGTTTTCAGTATAACACAGAGGAGGGATAAGCACTCTTTATCCATTCACTGAGGAAAACCCCTTGTGGACAGAGCTGCTTTCACAAACATTTGGATCCTAGTTCTTGAGAAACCAGCCAGCACTGCAGCAGATTGATCGGGGCGGGGGGAGAAGGATCCATTTTATTAGGTAGGAAAGGTGACTATTGATAAGTGTAGACCCTTGTTCACGTTTTATAGTTTTATTTTATGTTGTAACTCTTTCCCACCACTCTCTTATTTCTGGTTAAGTTCTTATACTTTCTCAAACCTTCTCGGGTTTTATTATAAGTGCTCACAAGTGCTGTGTGGTTTACAGGAGCAGTAATTTAAGGTAGAACTGGTATATTGGGATACACTGCACCTTGGGAGCGAGGATCTGGAATTTCTGTAGCCAGTGTGGGGTAGCCAGTGTAGGGGGCTGGGTATCACAGGGGAACGATTCAAAGGGACCTGGGAATTGGGGTGCACCTACTGTTGACCTGCAAGATGAAATTAGGGCTGGCATAAGCCCAGAGAAGAGTGCTTGAGTGGCCGAAAGTCTGGTGGTGTTAGGGTGCTGACACCTTGCTACCACAAGAAAGACTCCCTCTCGCCAGAGGCAGGAGGGATAACAAGGTGACTCTCAGTCCTGGGTGCCTTGAGAACTGTCACACACTTCACCTGCTGGGTGTGAGTAACAACATGGCAGATTTTCTGAGCAAACAGCTGATCTGTGGAAATCCATCATAGCACTGATGTTCCTGTGTTGGGAAAACCCAGTGATTGACATGTTTGCTGTTGTCATCAATGCCAAGTGCCAGAAATTTTGTTCCAAAGTGAGCATGAATCTGAGGTTGTTACGGGACACCTTCTTTCTGCAGTAGTCCTAGGTATTCTTGTATGTCTTTCCACTGACTTCCCTGAGTCCCAGGGAGGCTTCCAAAATCAAGAGACAAGGCTATAATTGTTCTGGTGGCTTCGTATTGGCTAAGACAGTTTTGGCTGATGGTCTGCTGCAAATATGTATTCGGCCTTTCATTCAGTTCCGACCCTGTCCAGACCTGTTCTCATAACAACATGGCCAGGTACTCCATCTAGACCTGAAGTCACTGTACTTGATGTCATGGCTGCTGGTTGGTTGAGTACAGTGGACAGAGTCTGCTTCCTACAGATCCAGGAAATTGTAATATAGAGCAGGAAAGCATGTATCAGAAGAACATGCATTCATATAAATGAAAAAGGTTTTACAAAATGGGCTGCCCAACATAGTCTAGACCCAGTCCAGCTCCCTCGATACTACATATTATTAGCTACTTATTGCACTTCAGACTGGCCAGACTCTCGGCTAGCTCTGTTAAGGTCCATCTTGTGGTGATTTCAGTTTGCCATGTGCCTGTATGGTCAGGCTTGGTCTTCTCTCACCCCATGATATCAAAGTTTCTCAAAGGGTCAATATGCATTTGCCTACAGTCAGAGAACCTAGCTCTCCTGAGACCTCAGTCTAGTCCTGTGACTCATGGAGCCTCCATTTGAACCTGTGTCAGCCTGTGCCCTGCATCACCTCGCTCTGAAAGCAGTCTTCCTAGTGTCTGTTACTTTGGCCAGGAGAATGACTGAGCTTCAGACACTTATGGCTGAACCCTTCCCCCACCCTCAGTATGACATTCCATAGAGTCATAGTGATGCTGCAACTGCACCCTTTCCTTTCCTGCACATCGTTCCTAGGGTGGTCTCAGAATGTCATCTAAATCTGTCAATCATCCTGCCTCTTTTCTTCCCAGAACCATGCTTGGTACATGGAGGAAGGAAATGACACACACTAGATGTATCCAGGACTATGCTTTGTTACACTGACAGGATCAGATCATTCACACTATCTCCCTACCTGTCTAGAGTGGCAGCTGGATATTCTAATGGTCAAGTCACCTCCTCACAGAGGGTATCAAAATGATTAACACAGTGTAGCTAGCTGGTGTACCTCTCCACCGAACATCAGGTTTATTCCACCAGAGCTCCAATAACACCCTCTGCTTGCTTCACAAATGTGCCCATTGACTTTTGTCAAGCATTGTGCATTGGACTCAGTTGCTAAAGCAGATGCCATGTTCGAGAGAGGAATAGTACAATCTCCGTGTCACTGATGCAGCTGTAACTCCTCATTCCCACCATTCCAAGGGGATACCGCTTGCCAGTCACCAAAAAGAGTTCCACACAGATGCATACTTGAAGAAGAGAGAACGATTACTTACTCTACAGAAACTGTGTTTCTTTGAGATGCTGATGTCAGTGTGGATCCCACAACTCGTCCTCCATCCCCGCTTTGGGAGACCTCAGCTACACGAGCTTTGAATTGTGAGGGACCTGAAGGAGGGTTGTGGCTGCTCCATCCTTTATCGTTGCATGGGAGCACAAGGAGGCACAGGGTCCGTGTGCAGCCCCGATGGATGCTATCATTTAAAAAACAAACAAAAAAACACCTCACATATGTGACACACATACCTGCCTATGGTGGGATCCGTACTGACAACATTTCAAAGAACCACAGCTGCTGTAGGGTAAGTAACCGTTCTGTTTTACTGAAAGTATTTGGGATATTTTGGGAGTTTTAGCAGTTCTTCCTGTGTTTCTGTTCATTTTTTTCATGTGAATTATTTACTCTTTCTTTGCAGTCAGCACTGCCTCACCCTGTGTTTGGAATGTCTGTGTGGCAAGGAAGGCACCACTGGTGGCTTCAGACAGCAGCTCATCTGGAGGCTCAGACAGTGAGGAAGAGGAGGATAAAGCTGATATCGTCACAGAAACCATCAGTACAGGTTCAGGCCAGGAAACCATCAAACTCACCATGGATGCTAAGAACGAGAAGGCTGTGTTCACCAGGTGCGAAAGAAATCAGCTGGGGATGGGGTAGATATGGCCATTAGGGTTTGTAAAGTGTAATCTGAATCCAAATATGGCATAAGACAATTGGCAACTCACCTCTGGTTTAAAATCAAGTGTAAATCACTCATAGGATGCAAGGCCTATTCATGAAAACAAAGTAAAAATGTAAATGCATGGGAACATCCCACCACCAGCTTTTTATTTTCTGAGACCTGGGTTCTGAATGTTGACTGTAGGCAGTTTTGTTAAAGCTCTATGGCCTTGCTAGGTGCTGATAAATTAAAGTATTTATTTACTGTTACACAAATGCTGTCTCAGTTCACAAGTGAAAATGTGGGTCTTGCTCGCTACTGAGTCATATTGCAAAACTACCACAGAATGGGCAATACCGACTCACATGAGATGTAGGAGTGGAATAGGAGTGCGGGATGCAAGCCAAGAGTGAGACCCGCTAGCAGAGCCACGTGAGGCTTCGTGTCATGACTAACACGTGGTGTTACGGATCAGCATTGAGATCGGCATCCCACAGAACTGCTGGGGGTGAGGGGTTGAAATGGCTCAAGTTATTGCTATTTCCTCATTTTCAGAAATTCATTCCTAAATTGTAAGAAGCACAGACCCCCAGAATTAGATGTTACAAGTCCCAAGGTTTATGGTAACTTATGAACAGCATCTTTGTGAGAGCCCTGAAATACACATCCTCCATAAGGTTTTACCATAAGACACCTCAGGTGAGAGGGTACATTTCACAAGTTCACTGTTATTAAAAGGGGACTAAACCAAGCATGGGGGGGGGGTAACATTTTGATAAGTGACTTAGACTCTAAAGTGCCGAAATCACTTTTGAAAATGGGCAACTTTGATAGTTTCTAAAATTTTACACAAGATCCATTTTTCTTCTTTCCAGTTCTCCCACCACATGCTTGTAGGATAAGAGCCAATTAACTGGGGGACCCAATATTTTGGAAAGCTTGCTAGGAGCAGATATTCACCCAGTGTATATAATATAAAGATTCATTGCCTTTTGGGGATGGTCAGTTTGAGGTCCCCGGTACACCTTATTACTCCAGTGAACACTTTCTGGGAATAAAGAAAGGTGGCTCATAAAATGGTGTGCTGAAGTAACATGGCTGTAAAACAAAGCAAAATCGCTGGAGAAAATAAACCAGTGACACATTCTGGTTGATCCAGTCTGCGTTGAGTTTTTTATATTCTGAAAATTTTTGAATTTCTGTGTCAATACAGGCTGCCTTTTCTGCTGCAGACTTGAAATAAAAATCTGATGCATAAAATTTCATTGCTGACAAGCAGTTTGGTTCAGGAGAACTACTTGGATAAATGGGACAAATTTCTGTGCACAGAGATGACATGGCCCAGCAGACTGTGCTTTCAGAGATCAGGCTGAAGAAATTAAAGGTGGTCAGTGTTGCTGACTGGGGCATCTGGGTTAGTAGCCCTCTCTGATGTTCATAATACACTTGAAATAAAACATTTGGAACATATAGTGGTGGCCAACACTGTCTTCCAAATGTGTTTTTTCGACTCTGAACCTATGGCATTTACAGCCGGAGTTGTGCTCTAAATTTAACTGTCTGTCTTTGTTCAGTTTAACACAACAGTAGTTTAAATCCTGTTTGACATTTTGCATGACTTTTACATTAGCTTCACTTCAGATTGGGAAAAGGGTATTCTTATTTGGATTAGCTAGATATGTCGTTGCCCATGACACTGCTAAATCTGAGCACTGTATTTTTAAATTAATGTATTTTAGTAATAAGGATCTCTCTCAGGTAAGTACAGTTATAACTTAAGAACCAAAACAACAAAGTTTCCAGAACCTGCTTTGTTTTGCAGGATTGTGGCTGTGTTCAACTAATTCTGCTTTTGCAATGCAAGCAAATACTCAGATAACCACAGTCTCCACTATAAAGGTAAAAAGAAAAGGAGGACTTGTGGCACCTGAGAGACTAACACATTTATTTGAGCATAAGCTTTCGTGAGCTACAGCTCACTTCATCGAAAGCTTATGCTCAAATAAATGTGTTAGTCTCTAAGGTGCCACAAGTACTGCTTCTCTTTTTGCAAATACAGACTAACACGGCTGATACTCTGAAACTTGTCACTATAAAGGTGTGATATCTTAACACAGCCATAATCTCAACCAGAAATTAAAACAAATGGCTGCTGAAACCTTTAATTCAGTTTGTGGTCTCAGAGGTATTCAGCTGTTTCAGAACTACCTAGCTAGATGAAACGTCTCATACAGTGTGGAATATCTTATTGGCCAGTGAGGCTTCCCCAGTTTCCGAAAGTCATTCTCTTTTTCCCTTCCATTTCCCAAACAAAGACAAATAAACTAGAAATGCACAATTCTGGGTTAATCAGTTTCTTCCCAGTTCCTTGATGATTACAAATAAATCAACTGCACTGATCATTTAAAAACATTTTGGGTCTAGTACAAATTTTATGATGAAGTTTCCTAAATTCACAATCCCAGTAGGCCTCTGTTATTTTATAACCTAATGCTGTCAGAACTCGATACAGCCAGGATTAAAACTCAGCTCTTTCTTTGGCTTTGGCACATTACTTCGGTTAACATTTTTGTATTTAGGTGCCTAAAATTAGGTATCTAAATATATATTTAGGCACTAATTAAAAGTGAGCTGATTTTTCAGAAGTGCTAAGCTCCTTTGGCTCCCATTGCCATAAGGGGAAGTTGGGGCTGCCGTTATCACTGAAAATCAGACCTCTTAAGTCCATAAATATAAATTTAGGTGCCTACCTTTAGATGAGGTTGGTGAAGGAATATCTTTTATTGAATCAACTTCTGTTGGTGACAGAGACAAGCTTTCGAGCTACACAGAGCTCTTCTTCAGGTCTTGGAAATGTACTTGGTTCAGAGCTAAATACAAGGTGAAACAGATTGTTTAGCATAATCAGTTAACACTTTTCAAGGGACATTCAAGGTGAAGTGGCCTGTTAACACCCCTCCAGTCATGGGGGAGGAGGAGAGGAAAAAATGCCACAGCACTCTTACTGAAGGAATATCGGGACTCATAGAAACCATCCACGCACCACACAAAGGACCAGCTTCCTCCAGGGTTACAGCTGACTTCCTCTAGAAACTGCAAACCTCAGAAAACTATGGATGTCACTTCCCTGTACGCTAACCTCCCTCACAATGAATGGCATTGCAGTTTGCCTTAGATATTTACAAGATAATGGACAATCCTCAGATATCCACCCCAAACATATTACCAAACTCATCCATTTCGTCCTCACCCATAACACTTTTACATTTAACAACAAACACTTTGTTGAAACAATGGGAACAGCCATTGGTACTAGGATGGCTCCCTGATATGCCAACCTCTTTGTGGGCCACCTTGAAGAAGAATTTCTGGGCAAATGCACCATGAAACCAGTGATATATCTGAGATACATCAATTATATTTTCATCCTCTGGACAGATAACCTACAGTCCCTCATAGATTCCCACCACATCTTCTATGACCATCCACCCATCCATCAAACTCTCACTGGAACACTTCCACACTTCCACACTATTTCAACTCCCTGGACACCATGATCAGCTCCAACAATGGAACCTTACAGACAATTATATACATGAAACCGAGGGATCACCACACCTACCTTCGCAGACCAGTAACCACCCCAAATGAAGCAAGAAATCTGTTAACTACAGCCAGGCACTCGGATAACACAGAATATGCTCTGAAGAGAAAGTCTGGGATATGTACCTTAACACACTTAGAATCATAGAATATCAGGGTTGGAAGGGACCTCAGGAGGTCATCTAGTCCAACCCCCTGCTCAAAGCAGGACCGATCCCCAATTAAATCATCCCAGCCAGGGCTTTGTCAAGCCTGACCTTAAAAACTTCAAAGGAAGGAGATTCCACCACCTCCCTAGGTAACGCATTCCAGTGTTTCACCACCCTCATAGTGAAAAAGTTTTTCCTAATATCCAACCGAAACCTCCCCCACTGCAACTTGAGACCATTACTCCTTGTTCTGTCATCTGCTACCACTGAGAACAGTCTAGATCCATCCTCTTTGGAACCCCCTTTCAGGTAGTTGAAAGCAGCTATTAAATCCCCCCTCATTCTTCTCTTCCGTAGACTAAACATCCCCAGTTCCCTCAGCCTCTCCTCATAAGTCATGTGTTCCAATCCCCTAATCATTTTTGTTGCCCTCCGCTGGACGCTTTCCAATTTTTCCACATCCTTCTTGTAGTGTGGGGCCCAAAACTGGACACAGTACTCCAGATGAGGCCTCACCAGTGTTGAATAGAGGGGAACGATCACATCCCTCGATCTGCTGGCAATGCCCCTACTTATACATCCCAAAATGCCATTGGCCTTCTTGGCAACAATGGCACACTGTTGACTCATATCCAGCTTCTCGTCCACTGTAACCCCTAGGTCCTTTTCTGCAGAACTGCTGCCTAGCCATTCGGTCCCTAATCTGTAGCGGTGCATTGGATTCTTCCGTCCTAAGTGCAGGACTCTGCACTTGTCCTTGTTGAACCCCATCAGATTTCTTTTGGCCCAATCCTCCAATTTGTCTAGGTCCCTCTGTATCCTATCCCTACCCTCCAGCGTATCTACCACTCCTCCCAGTTTAGTGTCATCTGCAAACTTGCTGAGGGTGTAATCCACACCATCCTCCAGATCATTAATGAAGATATTGAACAAAACCGGCTCCAGGACCGACCCTTGGGGCACCCCGCTTGATACCGGCTGCCAACTAGACATGGAGCCATTGATCACTATCTGTTGAGCCCGACAGTCTAGCCAGCTTTCTATCCACCTTATAGTCCATTCATCCAGCCCATACTTCTTTAACTTGCTGGCAAGAATACTGTGGGAGACAGTGTCCAAAGCTTTGCTAAAGTCAAGGAACAACACGTGCACTGCTTTCCCTTCATCCACAGAGCCAGTTATCTCGTCATAGAAGGCAATTAGATTAGTCAGG